ACGGCCCTGTCTCCCTCAATCATGCCTGAGAGAACGAGGCCAGCAGCAAAACGTTTGGCTTTCTTGGTTAAATCTGGCCGAGAATGACAGAGCCACCTAAACGTTTCCTGTCCCTCATCGCAGCCAGTGGAAATTAGGTAAATCACCTGAACAACTGAAGCCTTGATGTACTGGCTGCGTGTCAATTATCTTAACTATTAAAAAGCAGGGGCATTTTTATTTGAGAGTTCATGGTAATAACTGGTCCTTTTCAAACCTGGAGCTCTTGGAGATCTGAGGGAAGACCTGAGGAAGACTTGAGCTGGGAAGTTTGCCTCAGCTCTTGCATCTGTAACCCAGCTGGTCTAGCAAGTCTTATTCAGATTCTAAGCTGGCGGGGCTGCCTTCTCCTTACCCCCACCCTTTAAACAGGTTTGATTAAAATTTCATTACTTCTTAAGTCAAGAGCTCTTTTTCCCCCCACCTAACAATATCTAGAACTATTCACTCACCCCTAATTAAAGCTCAATAAACTTTATGAAAGGCTACTAGCATGATTTTCCAAGCCAGGCTTCAACAGTATGTGAACTGTGAACTTCTAGATGTTCAAGCTGGATTTAGAAAAGGCAGAGGAACCAGAGATTAAATTGCCAACATCTGTTGGATCATCAAAAAAGCAAGAGAGTTCCAGATAAGCATCTACTTCTGCTTTAATGACTATGCCAAAGCCTTTGACTGTGTAGATTTCAACAAACTGTGGAAAATTCTTCAAGAGATGGGAATACCAGACCACCTGATCTGCTTCCTGAGAAATCTATATGCAGGTCAAGAAGCAACAGTTAGAACTGGACATGGAACAACAGACTGGTTCCAAATCAGAAAAGGAGTATGTCAAGGCTGTATATTGTCACCCAGCTTATTTAACTTATATGCAGAACACATTATGAGAAATGCTGGACTGGATGAAGCACAAGCTGGAATCAAGATGCCTGGGAGAAATATCAATAACCTCAGATATACAGATGACACCACCCTTATGGCAGAAAGTGAAGAAGAACTAAAGAGGACAATGAAAAAGCTGGCTTAAAACTCAACATTCAGAAAACTAAGATCATGGCATCTGGTCCCATCACTTCATGCCAAATAGACGGGGAAACAGCAGAAACAGTGACAGACTTTATTTTTGTGGGCTTGAAAATCACTACAGATGGTGACTGCAGCCATGAAATTAAAAGACACTTGCTCCTTGCAAGAAAAGTTATGACCAACCTAGACAGCTTATTTAAAAGCAGAGACATTACTTTGACAACAAAGGTCCGTCTAGTCAAAGCTGTGTTTTTCCAATGGTCATGTATGGATGTGAGAGTTGGACTTATATAGAAAGCTGAGTGCTGAAGAATTGATGCTTTTGAACTGTGGTGTTGGAGAAGACTCTTGAGAGTCCCTTGGACTGCAAGGAGATCCAACCAGTCCATCCTAAAGGAAATCAATCCTGAATATTCACTGGAAGGACTGATACTGAAGCTGAAACTCTAATACTTTGGCCACCTGATGTGAAGAACTGACTCATTTGAAAAGACCCTGATGCTGGGGAAGATTGAAGGTGGGAGGAGAAGGGAACAACAGAGGATGAGATGGTTGGATGGCATCACCAACTCAATGTACATGAGTTTGTGTAAACTGTGGGAGTTGGTGATGGACAGGGAGGCCTGGCGTGCTGCAGTCCATAGGGTCACAAAGAGTTGGACACGACTGAGTGACTGAACTAAATGGAACCGAACTAGCACAACATTCATTCAAATGACCAGGTTTCCAGAATTGTTCAAATAAAGGCTAACATAGCCTACTGTAAGTGAAAAACAAAAATCACCCCGAAAGAAAAATTGAAGGAAGCGATTGAGATTGATCCTTCTTTGAGCACCATTTGGAAGAAGAAGAAATTTGTGTCATGCACATAAAATTCCACATGGCATATATTTCACTTCTTCTGAAACATCGTATTGGAAAGTGTGTCAATATGGTATGTCCGGGTATGTCCTGGCTAGGTTATCTTTTGTGACATGACTACAATGATTATTTCATGGCTTTTTCTCTACAGCCTCAATTTCGGGTCATTTTGCTTTTCCAACAAGGGTGATATGGTTCATGTATATTTAAACTTAATTTGATCCTTATAAGCCTTCTCAAATGAATACATAAGCCAGAGTTAAAAAACAAAACAAAACATATTTTTAAGATCGTATGTCCTAATGTGGGGCTGGAAAAAGATACTGCGTGGGAATCATAAGTGGCTGAGTCCTCTATGGAGTTTCTGCATGAAATTCATTATGTGGTTGGCACTCTACTCTCTGGTCTTGGCTCCTTCCCAGTTCATGTTGGCTGACTTTGAGACCCCTGGCTATCATTAAAGTTGACTGAGAGATAACTCCTGACATCCTACAGAGATGGCTATGATTTGTCAACTTGCTGCAGTGAAATACAGCTTTTGCCTAAGTGAATTAAAATTACATCTTACTGTTGGGCCTTGCTGATTTGCTAAGCATTGTTCAATTCCCAGCTGTAGGTTTCAAATGGGAAAATAACATGCCAGCCAGCATTCTAAAGAGATGTGCTCTGAGAATGACATGAAATAAAGCCACAGAGATTTCAAGCAGCTGAAAAGTATTCAGACCCTGTTTTCATTTATAATTATCTTTTTTTTTCCCAGGTAACATACATTGCTTGTGGAGAATATGCCCTGTGAACTTTGTGACACATAAATATGGAAAAGCAGTTTCCTAGATCCATCCATGTGAGTGGCTGGTACAATGAGGGACACAGATCTGCAAGCCAAGATGACAACGTGAGTTTCAAGTTGACTTGGGATTGTTGAACAAAACACTGTATTCATTTTTGCAAAGAAGAAAGAGAAGATACAGGCGTTATTTGGAAAACCTGAAGAATTAAATACAAATTTGCCGAGGCCAGATGAATAAGGATTAATTGACAACCCTTTAGGTTGCTGAGTGATATAGCTTAAATAGCATGGAATTTATCTGGGCATGTTATAGAAGGAAACAAGCTCAAGTACCATGAACCTAAGAATTATTTTTCAATAAATACCTAAGAGACAGTCACATCCACTATGCAGAAGAAGTCATATGTATGGGAGTGGGCTATGGCTGGGTCAAGTTGAATGAGAGATTTAGGGAGCTCTTCTGAGTCGCAAGCCTGCAGAGAAAGAGTCTTTCATTGAAGTTCATTGCCTGTGTACCACTCACAGCACAGAATCAGGACATGTGGGCTCTGGATCTTGCTCTGTCACTAGATAGCATACTGAGTCATTTCCCTCTCCCTCTTTGGATTCTCTTTGCAAGTTCCTCTTTCTCTTCCAGATGTCTACAATACAAGGATGAGTTAAAGTCTCCTGGACTTACGGTTTCCACTGACCTAAGCCAGACACCTGAAGTCATTTGAACACAATTCTGTGATGAAACCTTCTTCTCACCCAATACTGGAAAAAATTTATGAGATATATGATAGTTGAGGGGCAAAAAAAATTTTAAGTATGTCTTGTTTATTTAGCATAAGAGGTCTTTCTCTTCTCTATTCTCTCTTGCTTCTTCCAAGTAGAAGCAAGCATTTCATCTCAGAAGTCTCCATCTTTTTTACATTGGAGTTAAGGGATATATATATATATGTGTGTGTGTGTGTGTGTGTGTGTGTGTGTGTGTGTGTGTGTATATATATATATATATATTCAGCTTTTAATTGCAATTTTATAATAATCAGAAGCCAAAGCAGCATTTGTAGGAAAAGAAATATTCTTTTTAAGAAAAAGCACAACCACACTACAGATTTAAAAATTAAAATGAAATAAAATGGCTTTCACATTTGTTCCTGATTATTTTGTTTGCCAGATTCTTGCTCACGACAATGTTTGGCTAAAAGTGGTATCAGGGTCCCAATGGTGAGATACACTCCTCAGCAGTCCTCAAGTTCAGTGCTGAGAATTTAGACATTATCATTTCCTTCTCAATAGTAACGACTCTGAAACTTTGGGCCACACAACCACGAAAGAACTTGTCTTATGACTTCTGCTTGTGCCACCAGCACATACATTCTTTCCTTGCCTCTAAGCCAAAGCCTTTCCCGACGTTCAGTAGACTTGTGTCAGTGGATGAATGAGTAATCTCACCCATCTCCATGAAAAGCACTGGATAACTATTATGGGTCAGGATTTCTACCTCATTAAGATGCTGGTGACTTGTCTGCATGGTTCCGTGTGCAAAATGCACATTTCTTAATTACATTGATGTTTTCTTGGTACTAACTGCCCCACCCCTCTCAGTGACAAAGATGACCGTACTTCCCAAACATAAAGTTTTCAGTTAGAACGGTCTACATGGAGGTCATAATACCTTCTCTCATGCAGCAATATTTTAGAGATAAAAGTTCAAGTGGATCTGCAAATTCAAAATGGAAAGCAATCTGCACTGGCAAAGCTGAAGAGTGAAGCTGTCTCAGGTATGCTCGGCTATTTCTTGACACAGGGGAGACTGACTCAGGGTGTTTTCCATGGAGTCTGAGCTTTTTGTAACTTTTGGGCACTCTGGGTGACCCACAGCAATGCTGTTTGTAGGGTGAGGGGCAGCAGCTTTGAAATATTCACAACCAACACAATTTTGATTAAAGAAAGAACTCTGGTTTTTAATAGTTTTGATCATTAAAAAAGTTTAAACCTGCATAGCAATCATTTCAAAAATAATTATTTAATGTTCCATAATTAAACTGTACACAACCTAGTCTTGGGACATAGAAGCCAGTGAGGTGAATCTGGAGCAGTCCTGTGCAGTCCCCCGAGTCAGGAGTAGAGTTTCCATTGGCCATTTTTTTTTTTCCTGTCATTCTGTTCATCTTAGTTTATTTGGATGCTTGGCACAATCTGGCTCCGCTGCTGAGCGGTCCTGCACGCGGCAGAGAGACAGCTGACCCTGTTCTCCAGCCCTTCTCGCAGCCCCTCCCCGACTCGGCCGGGTTCTTCAAAGCCGCTCGATGTCTCGGTATTTCTTTCGCAGAATAGAGACCTGGTCTTTAAAGAGGACGGGGTCCAGCCTCATCTGAGAGTGGATCAGCGGCATGTAGCCAAACCAGCTGGCAAACGTATTCATGCAGCTCTGTCGTTGGGCAAAGTGGTCAGGGTCAGCCCAGCGGGAAGCCCGAGAGGTCTGGGGAAAGGGAGAGAAACAAGGGAGATGATGAGTTGGGTACCAGGTGAGAGGGACACACAGTGGGAAATGAAGTCAGGTGCAGTGGGCATGTGTTAGGACTCTGGGTCTGGCCTGGCCACCATGGCCGCCCCATCCACGTGGCTGGTGAAGATGCAAGCACAGGTCCAGATTTTCAGCCTTGCTAGATGTCTTCCCCAGACCTGCCATGTTCCCTAACGTCCCAAACAAAGATCCACAGGCACTGACATAGTCTCTGGGCCATGAAGGACCTGCCAACTGAGCTTCAGCTGCTGTGGTTGCTCAACAGAAAACTTCTTTTTGCACTTGGGGGTAAAGACAATTGACTCACAATGTGTGTATGCTTTCAAAGATATTTTTTTAAAGCCCTCCTGTGAACTTGGTTGATTCTGGCTAAGTAGAAAGATGGTTGCCATCTCTTCATTCTCCATGTTGACCTTGAGACTGGTTTAGATAATTTAAATGACTGGCATTGATTTAAAAGAAAGCCATAAATGACCCCAGCGCTGAAATTTAAATGGACCAACAAAGCATAATGTCTTCATCTTTGTATGAAACAAGGAAAACGTGGGCTGCCCAATTATGTTGGGAAAAAATCCATGAACTCACTAACGTCAATAGGTGATTATTTAATGATGCATATATATATATAGGTGTGTGGTATAACATGTTTGTATCCTCATACATTGTTAGAAAATACTTTCATAGGAAGGTACATTTTGCTGTGAGAATCACTCAGAGTCACTGTAAAACTACAAGTGTCAACATGCTTGAAAGTAACCACCGAAGGTAAACACAGATGTCAAGTTGCCTTGGAGCAGCAAAGCAACAAACAAAATACTATTTGTAAAGTGTTTTCATGAGCTCATTTGAGCCTCGCAACAACCTAATCAAGTGATCTACCTGTGTAATAACATTTCCACTGTACAGATGAGGAAGCAGGTTCAAGGAAGTTAAAATTGTTTGTTCAAGGCTAGAAAGGGGCAGAACTCAGGCTTCATTCTTTTTTTTTTTTTTTTGATGTGGGCCATTTTAAAAGTCTTTATTGAATTTGTTACAATATTGTTTCTGTTTTATGTTTTGGTTTTTGGCCACAGGGCATGTGGGATCTTAGTTCCCTGACCAGAGATCTAACCCATACCCATTACATTGGTGGGTGAAGTCATAACCACTGGATTGGCAACGAAGTCCCCAAGCTTCATTCTTTACCATTGGTACTAGAGAAACTCTGCTTGGTAAGTCAGAGACAGTAGCAGATTGAGCTGACCAGTTGAGTCCATATCAGAGTTGACAGTTTCAAGTGATAGTCGCTCAGTCATGTCCAACTCGATGCAACTGCAGCTTACCAGCTGCAGCCCATCAGGCTCCGTTCATGGAATTCTCCAGGCAAGAACACTGGCGTGGGTTGCCAATCCCTTCCAGGGAATCTGAGCCTGAGTCTCCTGCATCACAGACAGATTCTTTACTGTCTGAACCACCTGGGAAGCCCTAGGGAGCTTCATTTTGCTCCTATTATTTGGGATGAGCCTGTAGATCATTCCTGAATGACCTGCTCATCTCCAAAAGGCCAGACACCCTGTGTCCCAGCAAGTGCTCACATTTGTGAATGGAAACACTGTTGAGATCCTAAGCTCATTCTTATTCTCTTACAAATGGAAAAAAAAAAAAGTCCACTACATAGTAGTGTATATGTTAATCTCAAACTCCTAATTTATCTTTCCTCCCCCAACACTATACCTTATGGTAGCCAGAAGTTTGCTTCCGTTTTGTAAATAAGTTCATTTGTATCTTTTTTTTTCCCCCAGCTTCCACTTATGAGAGATATTCACTTAGTATGATAATCTCTAGGTCCATCTATGTTGCTGCAAATGGCATTATTTCATTTGTTCCCATGTCTGAGTAATAGTCCACCACATAAAGAATCTTCATTATCCATTCATCTGTGGATGGACATGTAGGTTGCTTCCACATCTTGGCGATTGTAAACAGTGCTGTTATGAACACTGGGGTACATGTGTATTTTCAAATTAGAGTTTGCTCTGGATATATGCCCAGGAATGGGATTGCTAGATCATATGGTAATTCTATTTCTAGTTTTCTTAAAGAAACTCCATACTTTTTTCCATAGTGGCCACACCAATTTAGAGAGCTTTTATATTCTTGACATAAAGATACCCTTGACTTCCATCTTCCCAATTATGTGCCAACCATATGCTCCCTCAGGGCTTTTGGATGTGGTTTATTTCCTGGTATCTCCTCGTTATGTTTCCTACAATAAAAGTGTTGTCCTCATTACTGCAGACTGAGCCACCAGTGAGCAAAGCAAAGGAGGAGATGTCTCCTTCCCTTACCTGTCCCATCATTGTCTCCTTATACTGCTTCTTTTGGGTCACTTTGATTGGAGGCAATTTTGTCACAGCAGACACCAGGAAATTCATGAGTATGTCCTCACAGTTGGCCAATTGGTCCACCATGTTCTTCAGGCTGGCTGGCAGGTAATGGGTGTAAAGGTAGTGATAATATCTGTAAAAACCAAACACAGGTATCAGCAGGGGCCATCACTGCATAATAACAGCTGGTCTTCCTTGATAGAAAACACATACCCATTCTTTGAATCCCTAAACACATCATGGATGATGATGATGACAATTATCATTTATATGGTACTTACTGTACACCAGGTAATGTTCTAAAGTGCCTTCTCAGAAATTCCTCACTTAATCCTTATAAGGAACCTATGATGTAGGTACTATTATTATCCCTGTTTTACAGACAAGGAAACCAGGTACAGAGAGCCACAGATGCAGATATTGTCTGCTCAGTCTAACTTTAAAATCAGGCTGGTTGGTTAGAAACTTAGATATAAAAGAAGTTACTTACACATATCATTACAAGCTGCTTTACAATTTTAATTATTGGCTTAATTAGAGCTGTATTCAATACTATCCCATAACTCTGGTTCCAACAATACAATCATTCCATTTGGGGAGCCTCTAAACCATGTATTTCCTCACTGTTAGAGCTATTAATCTGGTGGTCAATCATTATGGAGAACACACAATTAATTTGAATTATTTCTCACCCTACTATTTTTTTGGAGGGGTATATATATAGCACATGTTGCTCAAAAGTAATGGTGCTAATGGTAAAGAACCCATCTGCCAGTGCAGGTGATGAGTCACAGGTTAGATTCCTGGGTTGGGAAAATTCCCTGGAGAAGAGAATGGCAACCCACTCCAGTATTCTTGCCTGGAGAGAGTCCCATGGACAAAGGAGCCTGGTGGGCTACAATCCATAGGGTAGCAAAGAGTCAAACACAACTGAAGTGACTTAGCACGCACACATGCATATACAGCACATATTTCTAGGAAAAATCACTTGACTGAATCCGATTCACTGAGTGCTGGCAGCAAGAAGAAAGAGGCGGCATCTTGAAATCAAGACCCGGTCACCCCAAATGCTTATACCTTGTGCATTTCCAACTCCATCCCTGAGACAACAGGAGTCTCTATTTTTTTTTTTTTTAACTAAAAAAGACGAGGGTGAGAGTGGTATGTTCACCTTACAAAGGAGTCGGGATTTCAAGAATGACTCAGGAACATTAGCCTTCTACAGTCATGAATTTGGCCATCTTACCTGAGTCCCCTGGCTTTAAAGACCAAATCCAGGAAAATAGCTCCAAAATGTTTATTCCCAACCCTGACCTTTTTCAAAACACTCTTCAATGTCCTCACATGCCCAAGACCGAACTCCTCTATTTTCCCTAATACCTGTTCCATCTATACTCTTCCCAAGCTCTACTGATGGCTTACTCTATCCTTTTAGTTCTTCAGGTCAAAAAGCCTGAGTCATCAAACTCTATATCTGGTCTGTCAGGACATGATGCTGGAGCATCTTCAAAATACACCCACAATCTGATCACTACTTCCCACCTCTGCTGCTCACTTCCTAATCCAGGATCCATCATCTCCTATCTAGATAAGGTCAGCCAGCTCCTAACAGGTTTCCCTGCATGTCCCCTGGCCCCATTTGTAGTCTGTCCTCATCACAGCCTTCACAGTGGATGGCTAAAACATAAGAAAGACTGCCCTCCTCACACTCCTCCACTGGTTCCCATGTTACCTAGAAGAGAGGCAAGTCCTCACAATGGACAGCAGTGTCTGACATCTGGGCTCCCATGATCTCTCACTTGCCTGCGCCTCACTCCACCTGGGTCACATCGATCTTCTGGACATTCCTCCGGCGTCCTGCCTCAGGGATTGATTCCAGCTGCTCCCTGCACCAGAGCACTCTTCCGACAGGTACTCTCCCGCCTAACTTCCTTTCCTCCTCTCAAGTCTCCTCTCAACTCTCACCCACTTAGGGAGGATCACCCTACACCCCCCAACCTGCCCTATCTCCACCTTTGGTACTCCTCATCCTTTAAGCCAGAGAAGGCAATGGCACCCACTCCAGTACGCTTGCCTGGAAAATCCCATGGACAGAGGAGCCTGGTAGGCTGCAGTCCATGGGGTTGCTAAGAGTCGGACATGACTGAGCGACTTCACGTTCACTTTTCACTTTCACGCATTGGAGAAGGAAATGGCAACCCACTCCAGTGTTCTTGCCTGGAGAACCCCAGGGACGGGGGAGCCTGGTGGGCTGCTGTCTATGGGGTCACACAGAGTCGGACATGACTGAGCGACTTAGCAGCAGCAGCATCCTTTATGCTGCTCTGGTTGACTTTTTGCTATATAGCTTATGTCCTAACATATTATAGAATTATTATGTATACTGTGTCTCCCCTTGCTAGAATCAAGACCTGTGTCTTTTCTCTATTTTATTCAGTAGTAAATCCCAAGCACCTACACCAATGCTTGCTTAGTTGCTCAGTCATGTCCGACTCTTTGCGACTCTATGGACTATAGCCTGCCAGGTTCCACTGTCCAAGGTATTCTCTAGGCAAGAATACTGCAATGGGTTGCCATGCCCCTTTCCAGGGGACCTTCCTGACCCAGGGATCAAACCTAGGATCTCCTATATTTCAGGTAGATTCTCTACAGTCTCAGTCATCAGGTAAGCCCCAGAACCATGCTGGGTGGTGCTCCATGAAGTATTTACTTTGTTGTTCTTCTACACACTCAATCCCTCAACACACCCTGAGGATGTCTCCACATCTCAAACTTGCCGAAGATGCAGATCTACCATCACTTCTAACGATGCAATAAGCCAAGAGGTTTTACTGGTTTCAAAGACACATGTTAACCACATCAACAAAACTCAAACAGGGATGCAGACTAATTTTCGCTAAGGTTGTTAACAAGACTTGGCCCAAGTTCCAATTTTTGCAGCAGCCAGAAAGTCATGTAAGGAGCAGTGTAAAATGATGTCCAGGCTCCTCACTTGTGGTAAATAGCAGCTCCCGTCAACACCATGGAGTAGTCGTTCGTCCACTTGGACGTGTAGCCCCACCGCTCCTTAGAGTTGTCCCAGAAATGGCTGCGTGCGGGGTACCCCACAATCCTCTCGGGGAAACTCTGCCACACGGTGAAGGCAAAATCCACCTGCAGGCAGAACACAAGCCAAACAAGCAATCAACAGTGTTAACAAATGTCAACAAAACATTACCTTCCCCCTGCTAATTCGTAATGCGAAATCCTGGGACTGTTGGGAAACATTAATTCCACGTATTCATCAGCAAATTAAACTGACTGCTTGACATTTTGCCCCATAATTATGCACATTTTTAATGTTTTCTGTTAAAGAAACTTCAGATTAGCGTGGAGATGAAAGAAAGAAAAAACCAAAACAAAACACTGGCGGATATGTCCTATAGAAATCCAGTCTGTTCAAGCTTAAAAAAAAAAAAAATCAGTTGCTTTTCCCACCCCCACTGCCCCACAAAGGACACATGACCATTCATGGGTGGGAGGAACAAATGCATCTGTTTTATAAACAGGAGCAGATTTTCTATATACATCCAGCATATGAATATATAGCATGTAACATTACCAGCACACAGCAAAGCCATAGTGACTAAAATCAAGGCATCCACTTAAAAGCCAGAGAAAAGATGTTTAAAAAGCACACAAGTTCTAACAGGAATAAGAGCAGGTATCATCAAGAGCAGAAATTCAGGCCTCTCAGGTGTGAAGATGCTCAATGCAAGGGAAATTTAGAAATGTACCCACAGTGAAAAATCACTAGGAGTAAGTGGGGACAAGGCCAAATAAAGCCATGGGATTATTTTAAAGGAAACGCAGTGAAATGACTTCCTAATGTTCAAAATTACCCAAAGCATGTACTCTGAACCTGCTACAAACATTTGTAGTTAGCAAATGAACACTCAGTTTTCAAATGTGTGCGCTCACTTCTGACTTTCCATGATTATTTGATAAATAATAAAACAATACACAGAAAGTTTTAAAAAAAGATAACAGAAATGCTCATAATTGTGTAATGCTTATAATACGACAGGCATGGTTACAGGTACTTACATACTTTAACTCATTTAATCCTCACGATAACCCTGAGAAGTAGGTAATTTTATAGTCTCCAGTTTACAGAGGCGGGGAAGCTAACGATATGGAGGTTCAAGTATTTTTCTGAGTTAGTAAGTGGCAGAGTCAAGACATGAACTCAAGCCATCTGGTTTCAGATTCAGGGTACACTGTTATCATAGCCTCAGTTTTAGCTCTGTTGCTACAGTGTGGAAAACAATTTCTCTTATACAGGTTACACGTCCATCAACAACCTTTTCCCTATAAGTAAAGCAAATGGAAATTTCATATATTCCACATATATTTCAAGCCTTGGCATTGTGATGGTGGCTGAGTGATGCTAGCAAGTCCAATTGCTGACCTCCAAGGGGTTTAAAAGCAGAGAAGTTAGGAATTCCCTGGCAGTCCAGTGGTTAAGACTCTTGTGCTTTCATTGCTGAGGGTGAGGGTTCAATCTCTGGTCAGGGAACTAAGATACACAAGCCATATGGTGCAGCCAAAAAAAAAAAAGAAGGCAGAGCAAATAACTGTTCATAACAGCCCTAAAGTGGAAATGACCCAAATGCCACCAACTCATGAATAAATATGCCAAATATGGTATATCCATTCAGTGGAATATTACTCAGCACTAAAAAGGAATGAAATACTGATGCGTGCTACCACATGGATGGACCTTGCAAACATTATGTTGAGTGCAAGAAGCCACATACAAAAGGGCCCATATGTGATTCCATTTACATCAGGGGTCCAGGGAAAGCAAATCCAGAGACAGAAAACAGATTGGTGGCTCCAGTGGACAGGGAGTGACGGATTAATGGCTACGGGGTGTCCCTTTTGGATAATGAAAATGTTTCAGGATGAGGTAGACGTAATAAGTGTATAACACTGGGAAGGTACTAAATACCACTTGAAGATGGTTAATTTTATGCTTTGTGAATTTTACCTCAATTACAAGACAGAGCGAATAAGCCTAAAGATGAGCATTTCCCAAGCTTTCACCATATTCATTACCATTGCTGCTTCTTTTGCCACATTCCCACAATAATATACATTTAATGACTTAGTTAATATTTTTCTTTAAACTGCCTATACTTCTTTCATTTGTTTGTTTTTAAGCACCATTCTAGGTAAACAGGTCAGTGAAATTGTAGGTTTAGGAAACACCAGTCTGAGTGATGTGCAAGGGTCCTTTTTTCTCCGAATTCTTGGGGCTTAGTTAAAAGACACAATTTTTGTAAACAGCCATGAATTTAAAATTTTATGAAGAATTTAGTCTGGTGTCCTGACTCAAGATATGAAAAGCTTAACAATATAGCTTGTGTGTGCATGCTTAGTAGCTTCAGTCATGTCTGACTCTCTGCAACCCTGTCTATGGTTGGTAGCCTACCAGACTCCTCTGTCCGTGAGTTTTCCAGGCAAGAAAACTGGAGTGGGTTGCCATGCTCTCCTCCAGGGAATCTTCCTGACCCAGAGATTGAACTCATGTCTCTGCACCTTCTGCATTGGAGGCAGAGTTTTTACCACTGAGCCACCGAAGAAGCCATGGAGGGGGAAGCAGGGGGTTGGGATATACATTAAGAAAGTATGGTGGGGCAAGGGGCACCTCAAAGTTAAAATACAGTAGGTGAGTGGACAGTATTTGTCAGAAAATAGAAATCAGGTCGTGAAAACCTGCACCTTGTCACTGGCATTCACAATTAATGGTGCCAACTGGTGGGACAGTGCATTATGCAGTCCACTGGCAAAGAAACAGCCCAACTGTCAGCACTCTTTGGGGTTTTCCATTATCCTTTGAAAGGGAGACGCAGACACTGGCAACTACTATAGAACCCGATGGGGTGTTTTCATCACATGAATTCCTTCCCATCTCAAAGCCGTTTCAAGTCATTTCAAAGCAACTCAAAAGTAAATTCCGATAAAACTATGATGCTTGTGATAGTTCTCTTTTCAGGCTGCTCATTAACACATCAAAGGAGGCAAAGGTCAGCTTATGGCCTCTTCTCTTAAAAACCAACATCTGTTTTCTTTCGAGAGTGTGCAGCAATCCAGACAAATGTAAATAACTAGAAAACCAACTCTGTCTAGTACCCTTTATAGGACACTATTTAAAAATATATCCTTAATACCACAGAGAGGCTTTTAAACAAGCTAAGGATCCTTAGAGAGGAAATAAAATGAACCAACATCTATTCACCTAAAGGAGAAAACAGAAATCTTTGTCCTCCACCATGTTGGGCAACAAAACTGCGCTACTGATCAGTTACAAAGTAAACCAGAGGGCCAGCCTCTTAAATTTACATCTCATGTTCAAGCCAAGCTGACTTCTCATTGCTCCACATACAACACATGTTCTTCCTGGCGTGCGCTGAGAGGCTGGAACTGCTGTTCTTTGAAAAGATATCCACTAGCATGTGGATCCATCACAGCAGCTGGAAGTTATTTCACCGTGGGACGGGGGAAACAAATCCTAGCATGAGATCTATGGCCTCGTGCCGAGGGGAGGACAAGAGGTGAACCAATACTTCTGGTCCTAGGGTAACGATTTAGGTGTGTGCTGTGGTCTTGACTATCCATTCTGGCATAACAGTGTGCTGCCTTTCCTTTGTCCACTCACCAAGATCCACTCTCCATCCTTCTTGCCATGCCCTACGCCTGAGACAATGGAACTCTATGGACTGCTCAGCATGGGCTTCCTTGCTGGCTGCTTGGGTTAGGTCAACTGTAGTTGTTGGCAGGAAAATTAGGTGGGACAGAGGCAGGGCAGTATTTCTCTCCTGCGCTCCCCGCAAGCCCTGGCTTTGGCACCAGAGTCCTGGCAGCTGCTGCACCCCTCCATGATCATAGTTCTTGCAGGACGATGGCCTCTTCATCTCTATTCCTCCTCTCAGGGACTGCTATTGTTGTTGTTTAGTTGCTAAGTCATGTTCAGCTCTTTTGCAATCCTGTGAACTGTAGCCCTCCAGGCTCCCCTGTCCATGGGATCTTCCAGGCAAGAATACTGGAGTGGGTAGCCACTTCTTACTCTAGGAGATCTTCCCGATTCAGGGACTGAAACCACGTCTCCTGCTTTGGGTGGTGGATTCTTTACCACTGTGCCACCAGGGGAGTTATTCTCAGGGACTCTGGAAACACTACTCCCTTCCTTCACTCCTTCAGGCATAGAAATAGAAGCTGCTTCCTGCTCTCACCACTCCTCAGGTGCCTCTCCATCAGCTCCTATGCGGTCCTTTAACCCCAACCCATAGTCATCCTCCATCCCTTCGTTTAAATCACTTGATTTGAATTCTGCTTGCTGCCAGGACTCTGCCGGCTCCAGGCAGGAACTGTGTAATCAAAGTACCTGGCACGGGGAGCAGAACAAACCCATCCCACCATAAATACTCGTTGAATGAATGTGCACCAGCGGTGCCAGCTTCCGTTGCAGGAAGCAGCCGAAAAATGCAAGCTGGAGTGTCACGTTCCCTGCATTCCATCACTGTCATTCCCTTTGAACATGAAGCGTCTTTCCCCTCTTCTCCCCCCCACCCCAGCCCCATCTTTCTCCTGTAGCCTCACACGTGACACAGTTGGCTGTGTGTTCACACTTTAATCCTTTAAGCACGTATCTCCCCAGGATCACTCATTCACCAAGTATTTACAGGGCTTGCGCTGCATAGAAAGAATCTGACCAAGGCAGACCTGCATAGAAAGGATCTGACCCAGGGCATGTGTCCCGGGGGGTGATTTTGGTTGCCCTTCCACAGAACATCTGCTGAACTCCATTGGATGGAAACTGGGAAACATCCGTGGAATTGAAGAGCAGCAGAAACCAACAGCCCAGGTTAACATGAGCCCTGGGTATGGGGGCAGCAGGCCATTAGAATCAGACTGGTATCCAGGAAAACGTCTGGGGCTAAGTGTTGATGTTTACATTAAGAAGATAATGATATGAATGAAATTATTCCTATGAATAAAAAGGAATAAAAGAAGGAGAATGAGGTGAGTAGCTAAGTCTCCAAGCTTTTTAGCAACTACCCTGAATGATGTATTTCCAACCTGCTACATTTTTGTGTAACTGTCTCTGGTCCCCTCTTTGGTTTTAAGTGAGGTTTCAGAGATCAATACTCATTCGAGTTGTAAAAATTGGTTTTCTATCATATCTATCTTTCACCTTCTCTCTCTCCCCCTCACACGTGGCTCTGTGCCATCTTATTTTTGGCACAAATACCTGAACATCTGAGAATGCAGGGATCTCCATCTCAGCCTTCAAGTGAAACTGTTTGCTCTCGTGTGGGTGAAAGAAAATGTGCATTTCCAACCAAAACGGAAAAGCTGCCTTTAGAACCCAGAAATAGTGTTCCCCAACAGAGGCCACACACGCCTGCACAGCAGTAGGAGGATCGTGAAAGATGGGGGCTCTGGATCGTGTGGTTTCAAGAAAATACCAAACAGGCACCCCTGCCCGCCTCCTCTGGGTCCCTCTGTACACCTGCCCACACCTGTGCCATTTAAAAACAAATCCAGAAACAGGAGGGCAGACAGGAGGGTGAGGTGAGGCACAGCCTGGCAAGTGAGGAGCCAATTAGCAGAGGAAACAAGGGGAAAATGCTCTCATCAGGGTTGATTCAAAACCACTCTGCAGGAAGTTCTGAAAAATGTTCTGGGCTTGGCCAAGGCAAGGGCAGAGGAGGTGCCGGCACCCTGGGGTTTGAGGTGACTGCCTGCAGGGCCTGCCACCCCTCCCGAGAGGCTGCTTACCTCCGTGGTTGAAAGCACGGTGTCCTCGTCAAGGCTGAGCACAGCGTCTGTGACGATGTTGTCATAGGGCAGGAAACGGCTGCTCATCACCTGGGAGGTACGGGGGGTGGGGGTGACAGGCAGGAGGTAAGGAATCAGGTAAATGGAGAGTCTTGTTTTAGGGAGAATTCCCCCCGCATCCTCACCTTCACAAAGGATGCTCAACCATCATGTCACCCCTCAACATAAAAGGCTTCCATTTCCCATCAGTCCAGATTCACTGAATTCCACCATTACTTGGCACCTACTGTGTACAGACACCTTGCCAGTCAAAGGGAGGCCGGAGGTAAGTAAGATATACCCCCTGTCTTGGAGGAGTTCACAGTCTGCAGGGAGACCAAGATGACCAAGACCAAGATGCAGATCATCAGTCCTGGCCTGCTATGAGAAATGCCAGGAAATAGGAGGATGCAGTAACCAGCTGCTTGGAAAAGAAACGAAGACCTCTGAGAAGTGACCCTGATAGCTAGGAATCCACCTAGTGTAAATAGAAATGAGGACTCACAGAGGGCTCAGTAAATGCAAAGGCAGAGAGTGGAGAGCCAGTGCTCTGGAGGCCAGGAAAGAGTGTATGAAAGGAGCAGTGATTCCAAGCATGGGACACATGCCACTTGATCGCCACCAGGTCATTTTAGAAGGTGCAGAGACAAATATTTAAAAATTTCTAGTCTTCATTTTAGCTCAGAGAAGCAAAAATATGTACAAATACATATTAACAGCTATAGCAATAAGGAGTAGTAGTAGAGTTACTTAAAGATAATTTCATTAAATTGAAAAGTAAGCTGATTTAAAGAAAAATATTAAATAAACAATAGAACATGTGGCCCATGGATTAAGGAAAACTGTAAAGCTAGTATATGAATAAGATTTGGGCAGCTCTAGGATAAGGCACGGTGAGGTGAGTGTATGTGTGTTTCTACATGTGTATGTGTGTGCCTGTGTGTGTGTGGTAAGGATCTAGGGGATCATTTGGAAAATTGAGACCAAAGAGACTATGACAGTTACATCTTATACCTCTGGGCTAAGGTTTCCATAGAATAACTAATAAGAATGATGATATAAGAAAAACCAACATTTTTTAAATATTTACTGTGTGGCAAAGAATGTTCCAAGTTCCTCTCATTTCATCTTTATTACAACCCCATTGTATATGTAAGAAAACTAAGGTACAGAGAGATTGTGTCTTGCTCACAGCATTCCATCCAGCGTTCGCAATCCTAGGTAGCGGTCCCCAACATTTTTGGCACCAGGGACTGTTTTCATGGAAGATAGTTTTTCCACAAGCCAGTGGGTGGTTGTTGGTGGTGGTGGTGGGGATGGTTTTGGGATGATTCAAGCCCAGTCCCACTTACTGTGTACTTTATTTCTATTACGATTACATCAGCTCCACCTCAGATCATCTGGCATGAGATCCCAGAGGCTGGGTACCCCCTGGTATAGCACACTTCAGTCGCTAAGCTCTTTCTGTCTTGAGGTTGAAAGGACCTCAAAAGTGACCATGGAGCACACATGGCGATCTCACATTCACCACCCTCCTCTAAAAGGCATATTAGCTGTTATGTCATCCTCTCCCAGTTCATTTTTGGAGACGGAGAAAGAAGACACTTGTCACCAACTTTCGAGGCACGAAGGCCAGGGAAGGAAGCGGTTAGGCGCTGGAGACAAAGGGAAAAGGGGGCGCCTAGTCTGGCTGCCAAGGGTGAGCTCCCCACAAGTCTGAGAGTGCCTTAACCCACTCAGCCCCCCAAAGCCCAAGCTATATTTACATCAGGGAGTCAGCTCATCCACAAGCCTCGTCTCAGAGTCAGCTTACAAGTCTGTGAAGCTACTGGAGGGCTTAGGACGCTAAAGGATGGAAAATGTCCACCAGAACCCACCTCTAGGAGCTCAAGGGACATATCTACAGCATAAATGGCTCCAGGCTCTGCTCCCACACATCTGTCAACTGGGTCAAGTGTTTGTTTTTTTTTCCCCCCTCAGGCTTTCAAAATAAAATAAAATACAAAAGCAATCAGCAACCCCATATGCACAGGGCTCAGAAATCTCAGCCTGAAGCAATTCTCCTGACACTGTTTCCTTGTCCATTGACTAACACAGAAGCCATTAGTTGCCAGCTTAGCAATGCCCTGACCTTTCCCTTGTTAAGCCTACAGGGGAAGAGCTGCAAAGACAAGGCCTATAAATTCAAAATAGAATTTCCCAGCCAAAGCAGCCAACACATCAATTTTAAACTCAAGGCTAGACGTGGAAATTTAAAAAGGGGAATGAGGAGGACATATGACTTCCTTCCCCTGTTATGGGCCCAACCACTGGGTTTAAAAGAATCCATTTCTTTTTTCTGAACCTGCTTCATCAACAAAAGTTAAGCACCCATAAGCCAGCCACTTCCAAATTCTAGTGTAGAAACTAGTGGCTCTTTCTCAAATACCCTGGAGTTCTAAAAGCTCCACGAACTAGCATGAAAGGAGCATGTACTTACAAAGTCAATCCAGAGTAAGCTGGGTTTCCCTTGTTAACTTGTTTAAGAAATATTTAGCTACCACAGGAGCCCGAGCCTTTCTAGAACGAACAAACATGACTAGAAAATGACAAAGGCTCAAGAAGTTCCCTGTCAGGACTTCCCAGGTGGTTCAGTGGTTAAGAATTTGCCTGCCAATGCAGGGGACACAGGTTGGATCTCTGGTTGGGAAACCAAGATCCCACATGGGCAACTAAGCCTGTGTGCCCCAACTACCTAACCCACATGCCACAACTAGAAAGAAGCCTGTACACTGCAGCAAAAGACCCCACATGCCCCAACTAAGACCTGATGCAGCTAAACAAATAAATAAATATTAAAAAAAAAAAGTTCCCTGTCCAGTTGGGAAGTGAAGAAATGTTTGTAAGTAATTATACAAAGCACAAGAATTATTGACATTTATCAAGCACCGACCATGTAGACCCACTTTGTACGTACATTTATATGTGTAGTATCAAACTATGTGATTGATACTATCAAACCAGTTAGGTGTTAGGATTTCTTCCATTTACTGAAGGGGAGGGTTGAGGCACAGAGAGTTAAATAATGTTCCTGAGGTCACAAAAAAGGAAGTCTGACCTCAGAGCACATAAGACAAACCATCAATTTACAACATCCCCTTAGAAAAGGAGCTGACATTTATCCAATGCCAAGTGTATTACAGGGCTGAGCACCTGTAACACAGTATCATATTTCTTCAAAACGAGCCCAAATCTTAGCCCAGGTGCCCTAGAATACAGAGTCTAAAGGAAGATTTGAGGGCAAATGCTTTACTAGGTGGTACAGTCCCAGGGCAGGGCTTCCCAGTAGCTCAGTGGTAAAGAATCCACCTGCAATGCAGGATCTGCTGGAGACACAGGTTCATTCCCTGGGTGGGGAAGATCCCCTGGAGAAGGGCATGGCCACCCACTCCAGTATTCTCACCTGGAGAGTCCCATGAACAGAGGAGCCTGGCGGGCTACAGTCTATAGGGTCACACAGAGTTGGACATGACTGAAGTGACTTAGCATGCACATACACACACATGCATGCACAGTCCCAGGGCAATGACAGTGAGGGGAAAGGAACCACATGAACTACTGGAATCACTGGCCAAAGTCAAGGCTGCAAAATGAAATGTTAGTTGCTCAGTCGTGTCTGACTCTTTGTGACCCTATGGACTGTAGCCTGCCAGGCTCCTTTGTCAATACTAGGACTCAACAAATGGCCAGCAGTCCAGACAGAAATATGGCTGGGAGAATGGGAGGTATTTTATAAGACACATCTGATAAACCCTACAGGAAAGGTACTGTTATTATCATCATCAAATAGAGGAAAACAATTGAATGGGAAAGACTAGAGATCTCTTCAAGAAAACAAGAGATACCAAAGGAACATTTCACGCAAAGATAGGCTCAATAAAGGACAGAAATGGTACAGACCTAACAGAAGAAGAAGATATTAAGAAGAGGTGGCAACAATACATAGAAGAACTGTACAAAAAAGATCTTCATGACCCAGATAATCACAATGGTGTGATCACTCACCTAGCGCCAGACATCCTGGAATGTGAAGTCAAGTGGGCCTTAGGAAGCATCACTACGAACAAAGCGAGTGGGGGTATGGAATTCCAGTTGAGCTATTTCAAATCCTAAAAGATGATGCTGTGAAAGTGCTGCACTCAATAGGTCAGCAAATTTGGAAAACTCAGCAGTGGCCACAGGACTGGAAAAGGTCCATTTTCATTCCAATCCCCAAATAAGGCAATCCCAAAGAATGCTCAAACTACCGCACAATTGCATTCATCTCACAGGCTAGTAAAGTAATGCTCAAAATTCTCCAAGCCAGGCTTTAGCAATACGTGAACCGTGAAATTCCAGATGTTCAAGCTGGTTTTAGAAAAGGCAGAGGAATCAGAGAGCAAATTGCCAACATCCGTTGGATCACTGAAAAAGCAAGAGAGTTCCAGAAAAACATAAACTTCTGCTTTATTGACTATGCCAAAGCCTTTGACTGTGTGGATCACAATAAATTGCGGAAAATTCTGAAAGAGATAGGAATACCAGACCACCTGACCTGCCTCTTGAGAAACCTATATGCAGGTCAGGAAGCAACAGTTAGAACTGGACATGGAACAACAGACTGGTTCCAAATCGGGAAAAGGAGTACGTCAAGGCTGTATACTGTCACCCTGCTTATTTAACTTATATGCAGAGTACATAATGAGAAATGCTGGGCTGGAGGAAGCACAAGCTGGAATCAAGACTGCCAGGAGAAATATCAATAACCTCAGATATGCAGATGACACCACCCTTATGGCAGAAAGTGAAGAAGAACTAAAAGAGCCTCTTGATGAAAGTGAAAGAAGAGAGCAAAACAGTTGGCTTAAAGCTCAACATTCAGAAAACTAAGATCATGGCATCTGATCCCGTCACTTCATGGCAAATAGATGGGAAACAGTGGCTGACTTTACTTTTTGGGGTGCTCCAAAGTCACTGCAGATGGTGACTGCAGCCATGAAATTAAAAGACACTTGATCCTTGCAAGAAAAGTTATGACCAACCTAGATAGCATAGTAAAAAGCAGAGACATTACTTTGCCAATAAAAGTCCGTCTGGTCAAGGCTATGGTTTTTCCAGTAGTCATATATGGATGTGAGAGTTGGACTACAGAGAAAGCTGAGCACCAAAGAACTGATGCTTTTGAACTGTGGTGTTGGAGAAGACTCTTGAGAGTCCCTTGGATTACAAGGAGATCCGACCAATCCATTCTAAAGGAAACCAGTCCTGGGTGTTCATTGGAAGGACTGATGTTGAAGCTGAAACTCCAATACTTTGGCCACCTGATGCAAAGAGCTGACTCATTTGAAAAGACCCTGATGCTGGGAAAGATTAGGGGCAGGAAGAGAAGGGGATAAGATGGTTGGATGGCATCACTGACTCAATGGACATGAGTTTGGGTAAACTCCGGGAGTTTGTGATGGACAGGGAGGCCTGGCGTGCTGAGATTCATGGGGTTGCAAAGAATCAGACACAACTGAGGGACTGAACTGAGCTGAACTTCCTCATTTAATGCTTATCAAGCAGCTCTCTGATAACCACATTGCTTGACCCCAGCCCTTGGAAGGGTGTGACTGTATCTGCCACCTCTCCCATTGTGTTCCCACATGTTGCACAGTGTCCAGCATACAGTAGGCAGCCTACACTGGGACTGAATAGACAATGTATGGATCATCTTGTCCACACAACTGTTACAGTTCTCCCTGCATCCTGTTGAACTACATGAAAAGGTCACTGTGGCAGCTCAAAGGATGATTTTAAATGGTGCAACTTAATACACCGATAATTCTTATTCTGGCTCAAGGATAGTCTACTTAACATGAGACAATCTCTCACACCCTAAGTCTTTGGTAACCAACAGGGAAAGTCTCTTAGATGACAACCTCAGTATCATTTAATAGAGACTAATTTCTATTAAATTTCACTTAATAGAGACTAATCTCTTCAGAAGGAGAAGTGGGTGACAGAGGATGAGACGGTTGGACGGCAGCACTGATTCAATGGACATGAACTTGGGCAAACTCTGGCAGATGGTGAAGGTCAGGGAAGCCTGGTGCACTGCAGTCCATGTGGTAGCAGAGTCAGACATGACTTGGTGACTGAACAACAACAACAAATTTCTTCACCATGGATACGAGCTATAAGAAAGCAGAAGCTTGAGAAAAGAGAACTCATCTCTGGCTGCCACAAACAGAAGACATTTCAAAGAGGAGGCAGCATGGGCTTAAAGAATATATGGAAATTTCGATAACACAGATGAAGAGTTGAGGGAGGGATAAAAGACCTACAGCAAATGAGAAAGACCACCGGTAAAGGTGGGCAGGGATACAGTGCAGTAAACTGAGAATGATCAAGTCTGTAAAGAAAAGGCAATGAGAGAGGAGTCTGGGAGGGCCAGCAAAGGCCAGATTGTACACAGCCTCTGATGTTAATGGAAAACATTAGCAAAAGGAGTCCCTTAAGGGCTATGAGATGATTAAGAAGATCATTCTGTTCTAGGCAAAATGAGCTGGAGAATGGAATCAGGGGCCGAGCCAGGCAGCCAGCCCTCCTGAGAGTCTCTGATGGAGACCTCAAAGCAAAAGTAAGATGGCAATGTCTTTTCTAAGATCAATGCGAGGAAGAACCACTACTTTCATTGACACAACTAATTCAGATTAATCAGCTAAGTGATGCATTGATTAGCTCATGCATCACCACCACCAACTCGTCTTCATCCTCATCATTTCCAGAAAGATTACCATTGCCAGGTCCTGAATTCATTTACTCCTAATATCTAGCTATGCACGTGGTAGGTATTATTATTTCCATTTTGTGGATGAGGAAACTGAGGCTCAGAGAAGGAAAGTACAGACAGGATCACATATCTCCTAAAGAGTTAGTATTAAGACCCAGAATTCCCTGACTCAAAAGCCTAGGCTGTCACAGTGGAAAATAGTATGGCAGTTTCTCAAAAAACTAAAAATGGGGTTGCCATATGATCCAGCAATCCCACTTCTAGGCATATACCCAAGCAAAACTATAATTCAAAAGATATGCACACTTATGTTCATAGCAGCACTATTCAGAATAGCCAAGACACGGAAACAAACTAAATGTCTATCAACAGATGAGGAGATAAAGAAGATGTGGTACATATATACAATGGAATATTACTCAGTCATTAAAATGAATGAAATAATGCCATTTGCATGCAGCAACGTTGATGAACCTAGAGAATATCATACTAAGCAAAGTCAGAAAGAAGATAAATACCATATGATATCACTTAATTGTGGAATCTAAAATACAATGCAAATGAACTTATCTACAAAACAGAAACAGACAAAGATATAGAGAACAGACTTGTAGATGCCTAGAGGTTGGGGGGCAGTGGGAGAGGGAAAGATTGAAGAGTTTGGGATTAGCAGATGCAAGCTATTATAAATAGGATAAATAGGTTGGATAAACAACAAGGTCCTACTGCATAGCACTAGGAACTATACTCAATATCCTGTGATAAACCATAATGGAAAAGAATATGAAAAAGAATGTGTGTGTGTGTGTGACTTGCTATACAACAGAAATTACACAACAGTGTAAATCAACTATGTGTGCTGTGCTTGGTCACTCAGTCGCGTCCGACTCTCTGTGACCCCATGGACTGCAGCCCGCCAGGCTCCGCTGTCCATGGGATTCTCCAGGCAAGAATACTGGAGTGGGTTGCCATGCCCTCCTCCAGGGGATCTTCCCAACTCAGTGATCCAACTGAGGTCTCCCTCATTGCAGGCAAATTCTTTACCAACTGAGACACCAGGGAAGCCCAGATCAATTATACTTTAAACAACTTGGTGCTCTGTGATGCCCTAGAGGGATGGGAGGGAGACTCAAGACGGAGGGGATATATGTATACTTACAGCTGATTCATGTTGTATGGCAGAGGCCAATACAACTTGAAAAGCAATTATCCTCCAATTAAAAATAAATTAAAAAATAGATAACTAATAAGGACCTATGTATAGCACAGGGAATAGTACTCAACACTCTCTAATGACCTACATGGGAAAAGAATCTAAAAACGTGCCTATACGCATAACTGACTCACTTTGCCACACAGCAGGAAGTAACACAATTGTAAAGCATCTACACTTCAACAACAACAACAACAAAAGTCCACGGCTGTCAAAGTGGAGGACAGTCAGAGACAGGCATGGTTCTGGAAAAGTCGTCCAGGGCCGGCACCTCCCAGGAGCAGGAGGAGGATGACAAGGGGCAGCACCTAGGTGCCCCATTGCAGAGATGAAGATTCCATGCTGATTCCACAGTGAAGTCCCCTCGGGTCCTACCTTGCTTTCTCCTTCAATGACAATAACAGGCACGGAAGTGGCAGGCCAGCGGTGTTTGGCTGGAAGGGGCTTGTCACAATTCCATAGAACTATGATCTGAAAGGGATAAGGGGTCATCAGACGGCTTGGTAAGGCTGGGTTTACACAGGCTTCCAACCCAACTTTTCTTCTTAAAGACAGAGAGAGAGAGAAAGAGAGAAGATGGTGTTCTCAGCAAGGCAGAGAGGCAGACCTCAAAACTGAATTTAAAGTGACTCCACTCCACTCTGTACACCGGAAACTAACATAACACTGTAAAACAACTATACTCCAAAAAATAATTTTTTTTAGTCCGTCTACTCCCACACAACCCTCAGAACCCCATCACTCTTACAACCAGAGAGAGGGGATAAGAAGGGTAATCTAATAAAACTTATGTCAAGTGGGTAGGAGAAGGCTGGGGAGGAAAGAAGGCATGGCAGGGTTGTTGGCTCTTAAAAAAGTGGTTTTCTAAATTCTGGTGTCTTATGATGACGAGGAAGATAACAGCCTTGATCAAACTAAAGAAAAATGCACATTGAACATCTGCTATGAACTTGCACTACAGCAGGCAATGTGGGAGAAAGAAGAGAATTCAAGATGCGACTGGCGTGAGCTCGTGTTTTGGATTCTCGAGGATGGCAGCTTATTTCCTGCAACCTTATTATTGCCAATAAGTATGTTTAGCCCCCAAAGGCAGACTTCAACGTGACTCCATTCTTTTCTCATATGTAAACCTTCTCGTGTAATTTACAATTCAGAAAAACCACTGTTAAGTGTAGGAGAGCAATGCTAATTTGGAAAACACTGTTACCATAGATATCATCTTCTGCTCCCAATTTTATAATTAGTCACGGCGGCTGTGAAAGAAAAGTTGACGCCTCCTGACGCCAACGAGTCAGTTTCTGCTGTTGAAGCTTAGTTTTCTGGGTCTTTTCAGGGGCCTTTCCGAAGTTCGTTTTTCACTCTGACACTTAAAGATGAAATAATGAGTGTATGTATTCTTTAAAGAGTGTGTTGGGGGACTTCCCTGGTGGTTCAGTGGTTAAGACTCCTCACTTCCACTGCAGGGGGCGTGGGTTTGATCCCTGGTCAGAGAACTAAGATCCCACATGCCATGGAGCATGGCCACAAAGTTAAAAAAAAAAAAAAAGAAATAATGCCACTTGCAGCAACATGAATGGACCTAGAGATTATCATACTAAGTGAAGAAAGTCAGAAAGAAAGACAAATACCCAACCATATCCAGTACTACTTATATGTGGAATCTTAAAAAAAAAAAAAAGTGTTTCACTTTACCCCAGAGCAAAGATCTCTTTGTAACCTACCCATTACCGGTACCAGGTTTCACTTCCAAGAACCTCTAAGCTGATGAAAAGGCATGACAAATGGACAGGGAGCAAGAGGGCAGGACGTGAGATGAGTCCGTGTGTAGCAGGGAAGGAGTGGGGGTCTCTGGTCCACCAAGCGGCAGGGAGCAGGTGCTGGGTCAACCCTCCCGCCTCCCCACTCACCTGGGCACAGTACTGGGACTTGGCTGCAGCCACGAGGAGTTTCAACACTGGCTGGGACTGAGAGACCAGGGGGGTCACCGCGTGGATGACTGCAGTGAATTTGGAGGGGGGCTTTAAACCTGAAAGAGCAAGGGCAGAGCAAGCTAATGAAGCACTGAAAAACAAGACTTCGAAAATTATTCCTCTCTGCTCCATCGCCTCACCCCAGAGCTAATGTTCCCTTCTAGCATATTTTTCCTCTGCCTCTTATGTCTTGACAGAACAAAAACAAGGTGAAAAGCTGCTAGTGAACTGCTGCCTGAGTTTAGAGACCTGGATAATTTACAGTTCAAGACCCATTTCCAGATTTTTCCTTTGATGGCCTTTTCCTTCCTCCCTCGGGGATACATCTTTGATCTCCCTTCTGCTTTTTAGGCACCCAGAGTCTAATTATACACACTCACATAACATTACTCACCACACTCTTTATTCAAGAAAGGGTATAACTCTAGTTATTTACATCCTAGGCTGGATTTAGTAAATGTGCTCTCTCTCCCAGGGTATTGCATATATCTTATTCTTAATGATGTAGTTAAAGGGCATTTAGGTTGCTTCCATGTCTTGGCTATTGTAAATAGTGCTGCCATGAATGCTGGGGTGCATGTATCTTTTTGAGTTATGGTTTTCTCCAGATATATGCCCAGGAGTAAGATTGCTGGGTCACAATGGTAGCTCTATTTTTTTATTTTTTAAGGGACCTGCATACTGTTCTCCATAGTGGCTGCACCATAGTACATTCCCACCAACAGGGTGAGAGGATTCCCTTTTCTCCATACCCTCTCCAGCATTTACTGTTTGCAGATTTTTTTTGATGATGGCCATTCTGACTGGTGTGAGGTGATACCTCACTGTAGTTTTGATCTGTTATTAGATTTCTCTAATAACTGGCGGTGTTGAGCATCTTTTCAAGTGCTTTATGGCCATCTATATATCTTCTTTGGAGAAAGGATTATTTAGATCCCCTGCCCACTTTTTGATTGAGTTGTTCTTTTCTTTGATATTGAGCTGCATGAGCTATTTGTATATTTTGGAGATGAATCTCTTGTTGGTTGCTGGCTTTGCAATTATTTTCTCCTATGCTGCCATTTTGAAGGGTTTTTGCCTGATCACTAGTTTTTCAAATAATATCCGGCAGGTGGTCAAGGTTAAAAGGCCAACATCCAGAGCCTAAGTGTCTAGGTCTGAAGCCCAGTTCCATCACTGAGTGGTGTTGGGATCATTACTTAACCCTCTGTGTTTCCACAGCAGGGAAATGGGACTGATGGCAACAGCAACAGACTTACAGGGTTGTTAGGAGAACGAATTTAAACGAGTTAATGCATACAGAGCATTCAGAACAGGACCTGCAAACACCAAGCGCTCAGCATGAGCTCACCACCATCATCACCATCACTGTCACCGTCATCATTATTTTGGGGTGGAAGCTGCTCTACTCCCAAGAAATCTCTTCCTTATGTAGCAGGGAAACACAGCTGAGAGAAAAAGCAAGTGGTTCAGACCTCTGCCAACTGTGTGCTCTGAAGCCCAAGGTGGCAAGGTATCATACACATGCAAAATAACAACTGCCACCAAAGAGAAAACAGTGAGATGGCTTCTTCTCCAAATGAGTTTTTTCATGAGAACTCACTGAGAAACAGGAGCCAGGTTAAAAGCCTCCTAAAACTTCATTAGTGGGGACATATGTACACCTATAGCTAATTAAAGTTGATGTACGGCAGAAATTAAACTAATAAAGCAATCATCGTTCAATTAAAAAAAAGAATAAAAAAAGAAAAGCAGACTAAGAAACATTAATACTATGGGAGAGCTCTTATTAGACTATTAGAATAAGCAGTATTTATCGATGATTGAACAGCTTTTATCTTGGAGGGGAGGGGTCCTGCTGCCAATAAACTTGCTTAACATTTAAAACAAAAAGAATAAATGTGAAATCCAAATTTCATCATGAATTATAATAAAAATAGCAAATTAAATTTTAAAAAACTTCATTAGTATAGACCCACTAATTTCACATTTTAGCAATTTAAATATGAACAAGACAGTGAAAGAACATTGAAATTAAGCTTTGAGAGTGACTGACAAAGGTAAGAATTAGAATGTATATTGCAAAGAATTATATGGATCTTTTGCAAAGAAAATTACATCATCTGACTAGTATTTCAGTTTCACGTCGAAAGAAAGTAGCTTCTCCACTAGTGAAATACACATTTAAGGCTTTGCCAAGTAAGAAGAATAAATATGATGTAGGGGGTTCCCTTAACAGTAAGAACAAGTCACTGCTTTTAGACTTTCCTGTAATGGTTTAAGAAGCAACACTCACACACTTCTAACGTGCTAACTCGACTAACTCCACACAAAAATCTGAAGTCTTTTTGCCACATCAACTTAAAGCATGCTTTATTATCCCAAGGTTTCTCAAATTTGGAACTATGACTGAGGGGAAATGTCCAAGATGTTACCAACATTAGAACAAGCGGGGCTCCAAATATGCTGCTGCTTCTGCTGCTAAGTCGCTTCAGTCGTGTCCGACTCTGTGCGACCCCATAGACGGCAGCCCACCAGGCTCCCCCGTCCCTGGGATTCTCCAGGCAAGAACACTGGAGTGGGTTGTCATTTCCTTCTCCAGTGCATGAAAGTGAAAAGTAAAAGTGAAGTCACTCAGTCGTGTCCCACTCTTAGCGACCCCCATGGACTGCAGCCCACCAGGCTCCTCCGTCCATCCAAATACTGGGGCAACCTAAAAGTTTGTTCAGGATTTTCCATAAGATGGTGCAGAAAAACCCAAATGAACTTTTTGGCCAGCCCAATACATAAATGTCTGTGGCGATAACGGGGTAGCCTTCTGTAAAGCTTCATCTCTCTGCCTGTTTCCTTTTCCTTATTACGACCAGCCTAAAAGTTGCCTGGAGACGGAAATGGCAAGCCACTCCAACATTCTTGACTGGAAAATTCCATAGACAGATGACCCTGGTGGGACACAGTCCATGAGTTTGCAAAGTGCAGGACATGACTGAGCACAAAAGCTGCTTGAGAGCAGAGCTTATACCTCCTTTGACTCTTTATTCCTATCACCTAGCACTGCATTAACACGGCACAGAAGAGGAGCATAATAAATGTGGAATGAAATGAATAAGTTTGTCCTCTGTCCTATATTCTTAAATCTCTTCCCTTTCCCTTTATTAGTTTGGTTTTTCTTTGATCTGAGACAGAGAAGTTAGGATCGTGGAGAAAAAAAAATGTAGGAAGAGGTCTCTTAGATTCACTTTATGCATGATAAGACTCAAAATTATAGTAAGTTCATTGTCATGCTGGGGTTTCCCTGGTGGCTCAGGCAGTAAAAAATCCACCTGCAATGCAGGAGACCCAGGTTTGATCCTTGGGTTGGGAAGATTCCCCTGCAGAAAGGAATGGCAAAACACTCCAGTATTCTGGTCTGGAGAATTCCATGGACAGAGGAGCCTGGCAGGCTACAGTCCATGGGCTCGCAAAAGAGTAGGACATGACTGAGCAACTTTCACTTAGATTGCTTAGACTGTCATGTTCAGAATGATCTGTAATGTGGGGAGCCTTCTTAAAAAGCAATGCCTCTACTAAATATAAAGAACAGCAGCTCAGATCAGGAATGAGTTTTTCACTTTGCAAGGCTCTGCTGGATTTATAATTCATGACCTTGATAAACCATTTAGGACAGGGCTTTAGAAAGCAGTCTCCAACACAGGGTGTTAAAAAGACACTGCACTGAGATGGAATAAAAAAATCGAGGGACTTGAGTTCCGGACAGCATTTAGAGGGTAAACCAGAATAGCTCCGGGGAAGGCATTCACTTACCTAAATTAGCATAGTAGTAAGGGAAATCTCCCAGATAAGACGAATACTGTGGTAGGACGAACAATCCCCCAGGATGTTTGTTCCATATTAAACTGTTACGTGATATGTGCTTGAATATTCTGTCCTGAATAATCTAGAAAACAAAAACATTGGCATATGGTGAGGAGGAGACTCTGATGATATCTGACGAGGAACACATTCAGTCCAAATTTGAAGGCTGATGCCAGTAAAAGTACTGGGTCTACCCCCACCCTCCATTCTCCAATGATAAAAATGTCTGGGATACGTAGAGCATGACTGTTGGAAGAGAAGGAGAGAGAGAAAGGAAAGAGATGGTTAATCCAATTGTCTAATTATACTTCAGTTTCACCATAAATTCTATCTTGTCTTTCTATTGTTAAGTTTCTGCTCCTTTCAAAGTAGAGTGTGTAGAAGAGTTGTTTTCCTTAATGGCTGATCTTCCAGATCCCCAACATGAAGATCTGGTCTCAGTGCACGGAGATGTCCATGTAGAGATTGAGCTGGGAGCATCTTGAAGGCATGCACGTTCTATAAGCAGCTGAGGTTTTGATCTGTTCCTTTAATTCAGGAGGCAGGTTTATTTGTTTGACATAGTTTCATTGCCCTTTCAAATTCAATTGTAGGACTTCTGGGTACTAGTTAGCTGCAGTTTTTCTATCTTTAATCTCCGCAAGTAGTGAGTTAACTAACAATTGCTCAAAACAACCTAGATAATAGGACAAAATCCATGGCATATGAAGACTAATAATAGCCAAGCTAGTTCATTAGTTTCTTTGGACTTGAAGACCTTGCAGGATCATTAAATTCTACATTTAGAGTCAAACATTCTCCCATCCTGAATCATTTGTCAGACGAATGTGATTAGTCTACTTTATAGATTTCGCTCTGTGACTTTCAAACTCTTGTAATTATACCATCTACTCATTAAGATATGATTTGGCAAATTATTAACTTGATATAGAATTTCAAGTTTTCAGCAATTTTTTGTGTGTGTGTGCTTAAAAAAAAAGAAAAAGCCTAGTATATATCTCTAGAGATTTAAGACCAAAATCATCATTTTCCAGGTCCCCATTTAACGCAATGTGATTTAAGTACAGACCATTTTAAATGGAACTGTATTATTTGCTAAGGTTATTACCACCCTCATCTCATCCCACATGGTAACTAGACAAGTAATAAAGTGAGCTACATTTATCTTCGCAAACCTTATTTATATTTCTTATAAATTTATATAAGAACTTATATTTCTTATATATATTTATATAAGAACTTATATTTCTTATATATATTTCTTGTTTATATTTCTTAATAAGAGAGAAGAAAGGAAGTAAGGAGGAAATTTAGAACTCAAATATCTTAGTTCAAAATGATTTCTGCAGTTTCTCTTTTCCTTAGATCAAGACTTCTTGTTTTATATGACTTGGCAGAGGTTTCAAATTTGGGGAAGATTTTAGAAACTTCACTCAAACGTTAATGTTTGTTCTTTGTGGTGCAACAGAGATATATTAAAATGCTGTTGTCTAGGCATTAATTATTAGAAAATTGTCATGTTGTGAAGAGTTTTTACATGGTTTGCAATTCCACTTTGTACACCATTTATTCCAGTTTTTAAATATTTGTACTTTCGTATTCTACTGTCTACTTATTTTCCTTTATAGGTTTTCATTCAATCCTTTTTTTTTTTTTTTTTGCTTTCCAAATTTATACACCTTCAAGCATGTGGTCACTTAAATTCTGGATATCAAGACACAGAGCACATTGATAGAAGACTGTGTCATAAATCCGACCTACATACAAGTGACATAGAACTCAGAGATGTCACAAATTGAATCCCCATTCACTTTGGGTCTCTGGATGGTATGATTCTCAATGCCGAGTCTTCCTGGTTCAGTATCACAACACTGCCATTTTTTTAAATTCAGGGATATGATAAGTCATAGTACTCTTTTGAAATACCAAAAAGCACTTTATACTCTCTTCAAACAGATCTTGATAGGGCAATATCAAAAAAGGTAGAAGAGCAATAACAAATGTTGAATATAATCCAGGTCAAGCAATTTGCCACCTTTCTCACTTACTATCCTCATATGTAATAAGCAGTAAAATATCACATTAATTACAACAACCTCCAGAATCTGTTAGGAATAGTTGCCTAAGTGTTCATACTTATGACTTGACTTTATTTTTTTCTTTGCCTTAAACAAATCTCATTCCTGTGTTCATTATCTAAGCATGGATTTTCCCATTTTTACACAGCTATACTACCATAGGTATTACATATTACAGATCTTTCCATATTATTAATAGTATTTAAGGTTTACTTATCCTAAATGACCAAAAATAATGCAATTATTTCCATGCAAATCAGTGAACATATTTATGAGCTAAAACTTGCCACATTTAGGACTGATGCCTTAAGATTTTGTCAGAGGGTATGAACACTTTAAAATCTGTTCATATGTATTGCCAACTGTCTTTCTGAAAGGTTGATATCAACTTGGCTTATCAAAAGTTTGACAGAGCACAGATCTTATTTTACCAAATAGAAAGGTCACCTCGTCTCTCTCCTAATGCCTAAGTCTCCCTAATGCCACACTGGATGGTTTCCTGGATCCTTGGTACTCACTCTTAATTGCTGTGGACAAAGACATCATATTTAAAGGTTGGATACTACAAAGAAAATCAAAACACACAATCACAAAATATTTACACAATTTTTTTCCCCTTATAAAAGGCCCCACATGGTACCTTCAATAAGGATAGTATTTCTTATTAATGTGAATTCAAAGGAAAGAACGACAGGCGCCTTATTTTTCATTTTTATGTGCCATTTATTTTTAAAATAATGGACTACTGGTTACAGGTTACAGTCATTCTAGGTGACCCTGACTTGGTCTTTTGACAAACACAGTGTTGCCTAATACACGCAGGGCTGCCATATGCCACCTTGCTCCAAACTAAAGCAATCTTCTGTCTATTCTCTCACTGATTTTAAATTCTCATTCTACAGCAGCATCAGCAATACTACGGTCTGAAAGCGTATGGTTAGAGACGTGAAGAGAGAAATGGAGACTCCTTCATAGAACTTCACTTTAAATTGTGCTTTCCAAGCTACCATCAGCTGTTCTCATGTGTTATGACAATTTCACGCCCTTTTCTTTTGCTCAGCCTGTTTCCGACTGAGTCCTAGGGTTCAGCCCTTAGAGCCAAGTTACTGTCGTACAATATTCTGACAAATAATGGAATCCGTGAACATTATTTTTTGCAGCATTTTATCACTGTCCCTATCCTTACTTCTCAATCTGCACCAAAAAATGAGCTCCAAAGAGCCTAGCTCTTACTAAATAGCTCCTTGATTCTAAGGTGCAGAATTTGGCAATTTCAATCAGACTGGAAATACTAGCCAAATCCCAAGCAGGACAGAGTGCAACACAGTCAGATGTACGCACAACTTGACCCTGGTGTTAGAGAGAAGGACGAAGCATCCTGTTTCCAATTTTATCTAAGCACTACTACAACTCTTAAGGCTCATAATCTCCAAAGAGCAAGTAATTCCCTTCCCGTGACCCAGAATACAGCACGGAAGCAAGAAAGAGCCAAGTGTAGAACATCCCCTTTGCAAGAGACCTTCAAATCTATGCTATCCAAGGGTAACGTCGAATAATCCTCAGACAGCAGGCACTCCAGCAGGGACTGAAGAATTCACATTATCCAAGTTCTAAGCCAAGTAGGAATTTTTGATTTGTGATAGTTAAATCGTTCTTATGAACATGTTGGCTGTTTATCTGTGTATGTGGATGGCATTTTCTGCTATTTTTCTCTGCTTTTCTGTTTACATTGGATCGGGGGTAATCTGAGCTCTGATTTAAAAAGGGAAACTGGATGTTATCTCTCGTGTAATTCAGTTGAGAGGTCAAACTGTTATGATCCAATTTTGGAACTATATGAGGAGATTTTGACAGTTGCTATAAATTTGAATGAAGTATATGGTTTGTAGTGTTTTAAAAACAACTGTGTTTTCTCTAAAGAACTGCCTGGCTCAGATCCAAGGAGAAGTAAGCCTTTCCAGGCACAGAGATGAAAACAGCTTGGCTTAAGATCCTATGCTGATGAATATAACATATCCAACTGCTATTATAGGATAATTGAGCACTGCTAAGTTAGCAGGCAAGAGACCAGAGCTATGCAATAAACCATACTCAAAAGAAACGTAATTAATGAAATACAATCTTTCATCTGGCAAATTAGCAAAGTTGTACGTGTGTGTTTTAATTATGATCCTGAAGGTTGATAAGGTTACAGTGAGAGAGGGGCATTCCCAGATGGCTTGTGGGAATCTAGATGGATACAACCTTTCTTGAAGTGTAATTTAGCAATACATATCATGAGCCTTAGTCATGCCTGGACCCTTGGCTTGAGTAATCCTATTTCAAGGACTCCATTCTAAAGAGATAGTCTAAGATACATGTGGATAGTCATTGATTGCATAAAGGGCTATCTCTATCTAAAAAAAAAAAAAAGAATGAATGAATTAGAGACTACAGTAATAGTCAACAATAGCAGGTCAGTTAATAAATAGAGGCTCACCAAGAGATGAAATATAGGGTGAAGAAGTGAAAACACGGGGTCTCGGTGTATAGCCAAAGATGCATAAAAGTGGCATTTGGAAACACTGAGGAAAGAATAACTTAAGAACTATATTGTGGGAACACCCTAGTGGTCCACTGCTTAGGACTCCATGCTCTCACTGACAAGGGCCTGGGTTCAATCCCTGGTCTGGGAACCAAGATCCCATAAGCTGTGTGGTGTGGCCAAGAAAAAAAAATAATAAATAAAAATTAAAAAAAGAATTGTATTGGGACAACTACAGAACAATTGGTCAGAAAAAAAAAAAAGTCAGGTTTAGGTTTTCCAACATAGATCACATACAAAGTAAACTGGATTTAAAAAAATTAATTGGCTGTACTCTAGGACAAAATACAAAGCTTTAAAAAGAGTGTGCGGGTGCATGCTAAGTTGCTTTAGTCATGTCCAACTCTCTGCGACCCTATGGACCAGCCTGCCAGGCTCCTCTGTCCATGCGATTCTCCAGGCAAGAATATTGAAGTAGGTTGCCATTTCCTCCTCTAGGGGAATCTTCCTAACCCAGGGATTGAACCCACATCTCTTACATCTCCAGCATTGGCAAGCAGGTTCTTTACCACTAGTGCCTCCTGGGAAGCCCCAATATGAAAGTAAATACTAGAAAACATGTGTGTGTAGGTTGTACATAAATAAAATTATGAGTCAAAAAGTCCTTTCTAAATAGTAGCAAATGGAAAAGGCACAAGTGGAAAGACTTCCCAATCATAAACAAAACAGAAAGGCATACTACAAATTAGGGGGAAATATTTGTAAGAAAAGAATCAAAGGGTTAATATTTTTTGTATAATAAGCTCTTAAAAATTAATGAGAAAATTTTGTGGCCATTTCTATTTCTTTCTTTGTGAGCTGCCTGAGCAAGAAATACATGAAAAATCTTTCTTACTGAAATCTTAAGAAAGTAATGATTTATCAGTTTGAAGGACATAATGTTCAATATGATGAAGGTGAAAAAAATAAAAATAATTAAAATAAGTTCTCTCATATAAGCTGAAGGGAATATAAATTAGTTAATTCTATTGCAGGAAAATTGACAGTTCATGTAGAAATTTTAGCATTTGGCATATTCTTTGAATCAGAACTTCAAATTCAAGGATTTTATCCTAAGAAAGTAATCTTGAACTTGCATAACAATTTGTCACTGAGGCCATTTGCTTCAAGGATGTGTATAATAATGAAAAACCAGGAACAACTGTAGTAGTCTCAAATGGGGATTAATTAATGGAGTTAAGTGACATTATGAATGCAATATTAGTCATTAAATAACTATAGAAAAATCTAATGAGATAATCTAAATATATTATTAAGGAGAAAAAACAGGTTATAAACTAAGTATAGAAAGACACTTCTTTGACAGTAGGTCTCTCCTTTTGCCTGTGGCGTGAGTGCAGGGTGCGAACTGCGGCAGCCGGAGTCATGGCAGGACAGGCATTTAGAAAGTTTCTTCCCCTCTTTGACCGAGTATTAGTTGAAAGAAGTGCAGCCGAAACTGTAACCAAAGGAGGCATTATGCTTCCAGAAAAATCACAAGGAAAAGTATTGCAAGCAACGGTGGTAGCTGTTGGATCAGGCTCTAAAGGCAAGGGTGGAGAGATTCAACCAGTTAATGTGAAAGTTGGAGATAAAGTTCTTCTCCCAGAATATGGAGGCACCAAAGTAGTTCTAGACAACAAGGATTATTTCTTATTTAGAGATGGTGACATTCTTGGGAAATATGTTGACTGAAATAAGTCACTATTGAAACAGCATCACGTGAAGCTGCCCATTCCACTGAAGTTCTGAAATCTTTCATCATGTAAATAATTTCCATGTTTCTCTTTTATAATAAACTAAGGATATCCAAAAAAAAAGAAAAAGAAAGACACTTCTTTAAATTAAAAATGACAACATATTTATGTATTTGCATAGGAAAAAATGAATATATATGTGTTTATGTATGTGTAATATATGTCAATAGTGAATTGTATGGATAGATTATTTTATTTTTGCCCTGTAAGTATTTTCCACTGTTTTTTAAAAGGAACATGCACTTCTTTGATAAAAAGCACTCATTCCAAAAAAAAGAAAAAAGCAGCAACAACAAAAAATTAAAACACAATTCACATTCAACTTTCCTTAAGAAGGTTCTTGGAAGGGTCTTAGATGGAGGGCAAGAGCAAAACCAAACAAATTTATTACATGTTCAAATCTGCTGCTATGAATGCAAGTGAAACTTAATTTTCATTGAGGAGGGTGATTTGGATGAATAAGAGGAATTTGCTTGCAACAAGGAAGCCCTTGGAAGGCATTCTACCCAGTCCCCGTTCATGGGTGGACCTGGGTACTAAATATCTTTTCACTAAGTTCCAGGATGAAATCAGTGCACCCAGAGAGGATCCTTTGGTAGAGCCCAGCCCCACAAGAGCAGGAGCCAAGGCCAGGCTTCGGTAGGTAAGTGTCCCAGGGTGGCTGGGGTATGACCAGCATTGGCTCTGGTACCCGGGATGGCAAGACAGCAGTGATGTGCACAAAACAGGATGACTTCCGTTTTCTTGGTGTTCCTCAGAATGATCATACTGCATACTCCCAATGACATTAGCTTCTGGAGCAGTAATCACGTTTCCAAAGAAAATACTTCGAAAGTGAGGCCACGAATGCCCCCACCTCATGTTACAGACACCTCAGAATTACCTCGATGCTGGGCTACACCTGAGAACCTCTGCTCTCCTTCCTGTAATTCATGAGTGCAGATTCCGAAATCTTTTCTCAGCAATTTGTGCTACTTTGGTGTAGCCTCAGGCCATCGCTCTCTGCTCTACTTCCAAAGGTTTTAATCATCCCCATGTTTCCCTTTCCTTTTTTCCTCCTGTCTTAAAAAAAGCAACTTGAAGATGGGCATCCATCTGCCTGGAAGATTTTCTGATTTCATAAAGCTTAACACTTTCTGCACCAGATGAGTGTAATTCTTATTTCCTTAACACATCCTTGAGATAATGAGGGGTGGCTTGCATATATCGTGAGAATGAATTTGTCTGTTTCCGAATGCCACTGGACTACAGTACCCAGCAAACTATTCATATTTTTAGAATGGGAGAAGATTTTCCCCTACTTGCTCACTCTCTGTTTCTTAAGTGGACCCCAGAAATATGCCTTCAAAGGATGCCATGAGTGTGAATGACAGGACAACCATAAGCTACCTGTTTCTGAAATGATGTAAGACAGAGCTGATCTCTGTGTCAAGGAGTATAATTCCTCCTAAGTCAGCGTTCCTCTGTGGAGTTCATCAAGAATGGAGAGCAGGTCAAAGGGGGTTAACTGACACATCCAAGGACAGAAAGTTCAGTGTTGCCCCATTTGACCAATTACACATTGATAACAGCAAAAGTGAAGGCTAAGAGAAACATACAAAGGACCATTATTCGAGACTGAAAGCCAAGGCATCTCACTTACCTCTAGTGTAGTTAATACAATCTTCTCAACTGAAGAAAAATAAGCCTCCCACAAGAATTGTGTCTGCTGTCTAAGTGCTAGGATTTTATCCTGATGAATAGACCTGATTGTAGAAGGAATCTGTAACACAAGGTGAACACATAATAACTATAACTGGAAAACAACGAGATGCCATTTGATCAAAATAACCCGCTCAGGTTAGACTTTTATTCTTCATAGCGTCTGTTTCTAGCATACAGATCTACTAAAAACCACAAACCCCTAGACTGAAAGGCCCTGAAGAGGTGTTAGCTAAAAACAGCACTTACTGGGAGTCAGCATTAATGACCTTTAATGACCTAATACATGACAGTTAAGAGCTCACCTCTGAGGTTTGGTAGCAGCTTATCACTTGCATAGCATTCCTATACTAGCCTCTGCCATTTTCTAAGAATCCCACGTGGCCTTGAACCTGCCGGTGGACAATCAAATCCTGCAGAGAAGGGGCTATAGTCTTGGAGCAAAGCTGAGATTCATTATGTCCCAAGCACTTCTGAGATACGCCACCCCCAGGACTACTAACAAACTACAGAAGGACCTTTTAGGGAATGTCTTGGAGTCTGTCCATTTAATATGTAGCTGAGGATAATTATTTCTATGTGCACATATCTCTTTTCTCTCCCTGAGAGCTTTCTGCTCCCCAGACCTCTCTTTTTGGCTCTAGAGCTTACCCCAAACTAACACAATCTGTCATGTGTGCTTAGCCAACACTGCTATCTATCAGGCTGTACAATTTTAAAGGAAAGATCTGCGCTTTGTCCGTCCAGCTAAACATTTTCTAGCTAGGATAGTGGCTTTTATGTACAGACACACCTCAGAGATACTGTGGGTTCTGTTTCAGACCACTGCAATAAAATGAATATCACAATCAGGCAAGTCACACAAAACTTGTTTAGTTTTTCAGTGCATCCAGAGGATTCCCAGGTGGCACAGTGGTAAAGAATCTACCTGCCAATGCAGGAGATGCAAGAGACACGGGTTCGATCTCTGAGTCAGGAAGATCCCCTGGAGTAGAAAATGCAACTCATTCCAGCATTCTTGCCTGGAAAACCCCATGGACAGAGGAGACTGGTGACTACAGTCCACGGGGTCACAAAAGTCAGACACCGCTGTGTACGACCACCACCGCCACTGCCATCAGTCCATCTAAAAGCTACTTTGGCACTGTAGTCTATTAAGTGTTCAGTAGCATAATGTCTGAAAGCACAAAGTAAATACCTTAATTTAAATACTTCATTCAAAGTAAAAAAAAATGCTAACCATCATCTGACAACACAGGCTTATGACAAACCTTCCATTTGTTAAAAAAAAAAAAGAAAAGCATCTATGAAGCACAATAAATCAAAGCAAAATAAGTGAGGTATGTCTGTAGTAGCTATTTAATAAATAAAAGTCAAATAGACCACGGCCATCTGAAGCCACCGAAGGGATATTATTATTTTCACTAGCAGTATAGCTCAATGGTTAAGCACAGGAAAATGGGAGTCAGACCATGGTAACAGTCTTGGCTCTACAGTTTACTAGCTGTGCTTCCTTGAAAAAGTTACTTGATCTCTCAAAGATTCCATCTCCTCAGTTATAAAACAGGTACAGAGTTCTAACATCATTGTAAGGTTGTAATGAAGAGCACATAAGTGCTTCATGCAATGCCTAACATATGGGAAGTTTAACTGACAAAGTAATTATTATTACTACTATTGTTATTGACTTAAGGGTGATGATATGCAAAGGGTGACCAATTGCTTAATGTTTGCTTGTGAACTTACTTGGGTCTGGAGCTCTGAAATGTACTTCCTGGTTGTCTGGTGAGTTTCCTTGGCTTGCTCCCTATCTTCACCTAAAGCCCAAGGTCTATTTCATTTATAGAGTCTACATTCTTAGGGGAGATTCCTTGTGATTAGCAAGTGCCCTTTCGTGCTCACCTCTTTCTGCATGCCTGCCTCCCTAATATGTAACTAATCAGAGACGCATGCGAGCCTGGACTGAAGCAGGAATGCTCCACTAGCTATTTTAATAAGAAAGTTACCCATGACATCCTAAGACTACATCTGAATTTCCAGTGGAGGGGAAGGAAGTAGGAACATATTTTTTTTTTTTCAAGACCACTTCTACGGGAAGACAGAGAACTGTTTCACAGTACCTACATAAGAACAAGCTCACTTGTTTTGGCAATGTCCAAAAACTGATACTAAATCTGCAGTCCCAGTACATATCTGGATTCTCAACAATGAAGCAGCATGGAGGCAACAGGTAACAGAGAAAACATTTGCCTGAAATCAGAGCAGAAGGTAAAGTGGAAATAAAATATCCTTGAAGAAGGTGGAGAAACCACTTAGATCATCAATCCCTGATAAGCCAAAGAACATTTAATTTTATTTACTGAGAAAATTACCCAGATAGCCAAAGGAAGATTAGAAAAGAATTATCCTCCTCAATTTTCATAATCATGCCCTCTTCTGAGTATCAGTGGTATTTTCTAAGAGTCATACAGGTTGACACTTCACTGTTTTATTGTGATGATGAGGAAGCAGTCCATTAGAAAATTGTTAAAAGCTATCATCACTATGTGGTCTCCAGAAAACTAGTAGATTGTGGTTATGAAGGCAGAATGGTATATCATGCATGAGCCTATCAATACATCCCCTCTCTTATATAAGCTACATCTTGCTGTTACTATATCAAGTGAAATATATTCTACCCGTCTGTGCATACACATGTCTGACAGCAGTCTGCAAAGTGCTCTGGAAGATAATTCCAATTGATTGAAAAGACAGAGTTCCAAGTTTTAATGGCATTTAGCTATTGGTTATTAATCTGCTTGTCCCGAGAGACAGGTATGGGAAAGTGATAAATTAATTGCAATTTGGCCAGATTGTTCGAAGTGGCAGAACCCAGTGAAGTCTTAATAAAAGGTCATGCATGGTAACCAAACTAATGGAATCTACCAAGATAGATACAGGAAAGCAACAGTAAGCTCTCTTGGTGACATGACAAGACTATATGCAAATAAAAACATCTGAGCTGTTCTAAAACAGGAAATGAAAAATGGTAACATAACAAAAACATTTCCCAGAGCAGACATTTGGGCTGGGTGCCAGTTCTTTAAAACCATTGTCAATGACAGTTCAGTCGTCATTCAATATGGAGGCAGCTGTGCAGACAGACTGCATACGAGAGAGGAAAATGCCAATGAGTTTGAGTGGGTGCACAATGAAAAACAAAACCCCCAGCGTCAAGCCAAAATGTTGCTTCAGAAGGTGAAATGCTTCTGGAGAATCAACTCTGGTAAAATGGCAAAGATCAGACAACCACAGCTTGGTACCCTGGAATCTACTCTGTTTCAAAGACAAACTCCCAACTTATTCATATCAAATTCACAAGAGCGTGGGTACACAATTGGAGAAATTATGGCTGGTATTTTTCATTCCCAAATTTCCTTTAATGAGCATGCATCTTTAAAAAAAAAATCAAAGAAGGAAAAAGGCAACATGGAAAAGAACCACATTTATCACTTTGTTAGGCCTTCCATGAGTGAATGTTTTTAGGCACGCACCTAGGGAGAACTCTACTAGGTCACACGTTCTTCTCCTACTTCTGAGGTCCCAGGAGCCTTGGAAATCACAGATCTGACTACCAGACACAAGGCATGTTTTAGAAGCTGTGTTCAGCTTGCCTTGCTTAATTATGGCTCTCTTAGTTACAGATATTTCACCTTATACTTTAGGGAGACTACTAAGTTATTTCACCAGCCAGTTAGCAGACTGGCCAGCAGGACATTAAAAAAAAATCATTCTACAAATACGTGGTAGTTCAAGGTACAATGTCATGAAATAAATGATTAAAATATTACATCATTTTAGAGAAAAGAGTATGGCAGTTTATGCTGAAGCTAAAACATCACTGCACAAAATGCCTTTAGAAATTATCAGTGACTGACTATTCCTGACCTGGGATTTCTCTGTGAGTATCATATTCCCCCCTTCCCAGACAGCTATTGAGATGTTCAGACTTTTATTAGGCATCCTTGTAGAAGTTTAGTTGATGCATATGCATGGATTTATTTCTGGGCACTCCATTCTATTCTATTGAGCTGTATACCTGTTTTTATGCTAGTATTACACTGTTTTAATGACTGTAGCTTTGTAATATAGCTTGAAACTAGGGACGATGATGGTCTAGCTTTATTCTTTTTCTCTTAAGATTGATTTGGGTATTTGGGGTTTTTTCTGGCTCCACACAAATTTCAGGACTGTTTTTCTATTTCTGTTTAAAAAAAAAAAAAGCCACTGGGATTTTGGTAGGAATTGCCTTGAATCTGTGGATCACTTTGGGTAACAGGAACATTTTAATAATTAGTAAGTCTTAATTCTGCAATACAGGACAACATTGTTGAAACTTGAAGACACTACACTAAGTGAAATAAACCAGTCAAGGAAAGAAAAATATTTCATGAGTCTACTTTCATGTGTTCATTGCTCAGTTGTGTCTGACTCTTTGTGACCCCATGGACTGTAACCCACCAGGGTCCTCTGTCCATAGAATTTTCCAGGCAAGAATACTGGAGTGGGTGGCCATTTCCTTCTCCAGGGGATCTTCCTGATCCAGGGATCAAACCCACGTCTCTTGCATCTCCTTCATCACCAGGCAGGCAGACAAATTATTTTACCACTGAGCCATCTGGGAAGTTCTCCACTTCCCAAGTCCATAGAATTAAAGAGTAGAATGGTAGTGACCAGGGGCTGGGGGATGGGAACTGAGGAGTTACTCATCAGTGGGCATTAAGTGAGGTGAATAAGCCTAGAGACCTGCTGTAATACACTGTATTTACCTATACTCAACCATAATGAGTACACGTCAAAATTGGTAAAGAGGGTGGATTTCATGTTACATGTTTTTACAATAAAATGAAATGAAAAAAAAAATCTACATGACCAAAAATACAAGATAACTCCCCCCACACACATTTTCATTTGAGGCTGCTCTTTTAAATATACATCTTAAAGATAACATCACCCAGACTAGATCATTTGAGCAATGATGACACTAATGGCAAGAATCAGCCCTAGAGACCTGTCTTTCTGAAAATTAATCTGAAGGCAAATATGGAAACAGGAAAGGAGCACAAAGTGGCAGCAGAATTGTACAAGAACTCTCTGGCATGATTCCTAAATATTACAGAAATCGAAGGGGGTAGATATACACCTCCTGTCAGTATCAACATTCACGTCCTCCACCTGTACCTTCTCCTTGTCCGAGTATATATTCCCTGGCTCTGAGGAGATTGCGTACTAGGAAGTCAACGATGTCATGTTAAATGACTTCATATTCGCCACGACACAGGCAATTTTCTCCTGATAAAATTTCTTTTATAGAGCTGACCTTTTGGATTCATCTTCTTTGAAAGTTTGTACGGGGGCAGCAATAATCCACTGATCTGGGGAAGGCCACCACCCCTTCCTTACCTGTAATAACAATCTCTCATCGCCTATGACGGCAGCTTGGTTCCAATTAATCACTTCAGAGAATGGCAACTCCCATCCATTGCTGAGCATCACAGGGACACAGGCAGCCTGTGCAAAGAAGGGCACTGTGAGTGTGAGGGAGGTGGTGGCATGAGGAACTGTTCCAATCAGGAGGGTGAAATCAGTACAAATTCAATTACTGGCATGAATCCTGGACTGCTGAGGTCAATAGAAAAGTGGGCTTTTATGAAGTCACATGAAGGTTGTCCGTATCCAGCTGAGATTTTACCAGTTGCAAGTTGTGCCTTAGAATGTGAAAACCTCATTTCTATTCTTGTACCTGGTTTGGCTGACCTTACTTCTATGGAGACAACTGGCCTCGTTGAAGAAGTTTTACTGACATAATAAAATCGTCCACCAACAAAATCCTAGCACAAACCCCACCTTGAACATACATGGTCTTGTCAATGAAAATGCTACAGTTCATGTGCAAAGTGCTTCACCCTAATGTCCTGAGCAACAAAGAGCTGAACAGGACTTGGTTTTCCTGATAAAGCGTTTTGTGGACTTAATTCTTACAGGGTGCTCAACAGGCCAGGCAAACACCTGAACCAGACTTGGTCCCTTCAGTGTGGTGGGATCCTGACCAACTTACTACCTGCACAGTGACAGAAGAGCCTAAAAACACCAGGCTAATGACAAATTCTGGTTGCAAAGAACTCGTAATCCTAAGCAGAGACCAATTTGCTCAACGCAACATCCCCAGAGGCTAGGAGAATGTTAGGGATGATATTCTTCCTAGAACGTGCCAGAAAAGACTTTCAAGAAAAGGAAGCCCTCCTGTTGAAGGACAAGACAGAACATTGGAAGCATGGTGACAAAAGCACAGATTCAGGCAGGGGCAGAGTACAAAGGAGGAGAGGACACAGCAGCAAGCAGTTCAGGAGCGGAGGAGGTGAGAGGTGGAAAGTGTGCTTTCTTGCCAACAAGGAAGGCTGGATGCAACTTCTGGGTGAGAACCACCGTGAGTGAAGGTTAATGGCACAAAAGTCCTAAAGCTCTGGGACCTCAGAACTGTAGCGCCTGGAAGAGCCAGGCTGAGACAGTGCCTCTATCTTGCTGGGGGTCATGCTCAAAATTCAGAGGAGCCAAGTGATAACTGCGATGGGGACAGAACAAGTTTGATTTTGGAAAATACCACTCATCAGCCATCTTCACTGCTGTTGAAACTGGCTTCCAAGGAGGAGGGCTGAGCCTGCATGAGGAGCCCAGCTCTGCTGCCTGGTGGGCAGTCAGATCTACTCTGTGTTTGCAAGCCCATCTCTGAGAGCCCACCTTCCCTTGAGATTCCCACTGAATCTCCTCATGTCCAAAGGCAGGGAGTAAATCCTCCTTCCGCCCCCCGACGCATATAAAAGGTTGCAGATTTTCTGGGGAAAACAGATTTCAGGTGTTCTGGGCAAACCATGCGTTTGGTTTAGATCCCAGGAGATTTGTTAAGGTGAACCCTCCTCCCCCATCCCACACGCTGTCTGACGTCAGTTCTCAGCTCTATAATGGGGATGATCAGGGTCTCTTACCTGCAGAGCCTCCAGGAACCTGAAGGACCCAAGCCTGCGACCACGAGGAACCAGACAGAAAGTGGCATTGTGCAGCATTTCCCGATAATCATACCTAGAAGGAGAAGAGGCACCATCAGCAAACAAAGACCATTAAGAATGGGGGTGGGGTGAATGGGCACACCTAGGGTGCGTGAAACCACCCAGAGCAACTTGGGTGCTACGCAAGCCAGCCCCACTTTTCCAGGGGGAAGGCAGGAAGGGTTGTTGCAGGAAGGAATGGAAATGTGACCCTTCCCACTGGACAAAGCAATTAGGGTCTTTTTCAAACAATACGTAAAAAATAAGTCTGATGGTCTCAGTGACATTTTGGCTCACTCAGCCTTTACTTTGCAAATCAGGTTTTTTTCATGTCTTGGCAAAAATAGATTGCCTTCATCAGCTTAAAAAAATAATCACTGCTAGTTGTTCTTTATAATGCCATATCATTCAGGAACCTGAAGACTGCTCTTGTTTCCTACCTACCCCATGAAACCATGCTATTAAAATCTACTCAGGAAACCTCCATTCCCAGCACAAAACATTTATTTTCTCCTTCAAGCTGAAGTTTCTACTTTTAACTGAGAACATTCGGTTACCCCAGACAAACACTCCTGTGTAAGAATGGTTGGCATGGAGGAAAGAGAGAAGGAGTCAGCCCAAGAAACTGGGAAAGAGAAGAAATAACAAGAGAAGAAAAAATACTCAGGGCTGTGGGAAACTGGGCAAGAGATGAGATGATCGTGTCTTTTACTCAAATACCATTGAGCCAGCTCACATTGTTATTGCACTTGAGAAAAATGCAAAATAGAACAGGAATGTCACCTGTCTCTTTATGTCAGTGGAGTGCAGGGAAAGACAACAAGCACCTCATTTTGTTTAGGGCTGGCACTTGAAACATAATTTCCACAAACCCAGTCCTAAACACACAGCTGAAAGTTCACTCGGAGTTGAAGCAAAGTTGGGAAACTGGAGATGGCTCATGTCCTGGAAAGGCCCAGCTTCTCAGGGCTAGGATGAAATCACACTAGTATGAAATCACTCTCGTTTTTCAAGAACTTCCCGGGCTCAGCAGACAGGTGTGACTTTGACAGTAGCATATGTCACCGGCATTTTCTGACTCTAATAGTCTAATTTAATCATAGCCTGGAGGCATTGGATTCTTCCCTCCTCTTTGGGGGATACTGATATATACATTTATATTTTTAAAGTCCACATCTATTTTTATAATCTTACACAAACTAGGCATATGGGAGTAAGCCAATTTTCAATTATAAACCTGTCATTAAGAAGAGACATCATGCAAAGGACCATTTGCTTAAACAAGCGTGTACAACTAATTTGCACAAGAAAAGGTCACCATGAATGGATTATCTACATTGAGAGTAAAAATTTTTAAAAAGAGAGAAAGAAAAAAGAATATCCTTGCTGCGTTCATTAAACCATAAAATAGACTTCAAAGTGGAAAGGTTTTTAAGAGGGCTCAAATTTAGCTAAATGAAAAAAATATTAAATTATGATAGTAATGGCTCTTTTCCTCACCAAACATAAGGAAATAATTGACAAGGATCTCAGGCTCAACTGTTGATAATATTTGAATATCTATCTAATCAATGGAGACCAGGGAAACACACACACACACACACACACACACACACACAATGTATGTATAGTTTAAACTGAAACTTTTTTAATATAAAAAGGCCAAATATACTTGAGGCTACAGCAAAGTTTAATAAATACCCAGAATAGAAACCTCTAAGGAGCTGGAAGAGAAGGCCCTACCTCCTCATCATTAGGCTGCTAAAAATGTAAAACCCTATTAATGTTCTGGATTGTAACAAGTTTCAAAGTTTTCAGCTGCAGAATTTACTTGAGGGAAGGAGCAGACGGAGAGGAAAAGCAGAAAAGTTGCCGAAAAAACTCAAATAACAGTTATTCAAGGCGTGGATTTTTAAGTGGTTGTAGAGAGGGATTTGGTGATGTATCGAATAAAGCTTCATGATTGAAGCTAATGTTCATTCACATAATAGGTAACAGGAGAAAGGGGAGAAGCATTCTTGCTGGAATCAGGAACCCACTCGGTAAGCTGTGAAGTTAAGAATGAAATGATGGGCTTTCTGGGCCTCAGTCTCCTCATCTGCAAAATGAGTCAGTTGGGCAAGATGAGTAAAGATTGTCTGGAACATTCCATAATTCTTTCTTTTTTTAAAAATAAAGTATTTCTTAAGAATTTTGTTTGTTTTTTGATATGGACCATGTTTTAAAAGTCTTTATTGAATTTATTGCAGTATTTGTTCTGTTTTATGTGTTTAGGTTTTTTTTTAGCTGCGAGGCATGTGGGTTCTTAGCTTCAGGACCAAGGATTGAACCTGCATCCTCTACATTGGAAGGCAAAGTCTTAAATCACTGGACAGACAGGGAAGTCCTTCCACTATTCTTTATTCTTTTATTATATCATGTCCCTTTGAGACTATCCCACTGCTCCAAAAATTTACACAACCACTGTATGTATGTATGTGTGTATATGTGTCTAAGGGACTTCCCAGGTGGCGCTAGTGGTAAAGAATCTGCCTGCTAACGCAGGAGACAAAAAAGACACAGGTTCGATCCCTGGGCATGGCAACCCACCCCAGTGTTCTTGCCTGGAAAACCCCAAGGACAGAGGAGCCTGGTGGGCTACTGTCCATAGGATCACAAAGAGACAAACATGACTGAAGTGACTTAGTGTGCATGCATGCAGACACACATATATTTCTATAGAAATCTGCCTGTATACACAATGTGCAATGTGTGTATTTATACTGACATACAAAGACATACAGAAACATAAGCACATACAACTTAAAACAATGATTTTCCTATTTTTAACCATGCTCAGCCCATGAACCATCGGCTCCAGTGACAGTGAGCCTATGAATGACTGTGTGTGACAAGTGACGAAATAATGATGTCTGCAAGGGGGATGATGGTCCTAATAGAACCACACGTATGTGTGGTACTCTCCCCACTCAGCTCTTGGGTCTGCTCATATGCCCACATCTACCTCCTTCTAAGATTTTAAACTCATTCATTTACTCAGTCATTCTTTCAAGAAATACTATGTCCCAAGCACTGTTCTAGTCCTGGAGAAGATGCTTCTCCTGCTGCTAGACCTACCAGAGCCTCATCAGATAACTAAGAGAGGCTGACAAGGGTTTCAGGGGTAGTATCTCCCTGAGGGTAGGTGTTCTATACTGTGGAAGGCTGGCCTTCCAGAATGACACAGTAAGGAATTCTGTGGATGCTCCTTCCAGCAAAACACCAATTTACCCGGTACAAATTATAAGAACATTCACTGATAAAGTTGATATGCATGAACTTATTTACAAAACAGAAACAGACTCACAGACTTAGAATGACCTCATGGCACCAAGGGGTAAGAGCTGGGGAAGAGGGGGCACAGTTAGGAAGTTTGAGATGACATGCACACACTGTTTCATTTAAAATGGAAAACCAACAGGGACCTATTGTATAGCACAGGGAACGTGGCTCAGTATTCTGCAATAACCTAACTGGAAAAAGAATTTGAAAAAGAATCAGTTCAGTTCAGTTCAATATGTGAATATGTCTTAACTGAATCACTTTGCTGTACCCCTGAAACTAACACACTGTTAATTAACTGTGCTTCAATATAAAATAAAAAGTTTAAGAAAGAACATTCATTGAAAATTTTTGGAAATTGTCCTCAGAGCATCATGACAAGTGGAAAACCATTTGTTCAGGAAAATCTACCGAATCTCGGCAAGAACTGTGAGCGTCTGGGACATCTGAGCCAAGATCCGCTCCATTACCAACCCTCACTAGCTCTGCCTTATAGAAGCTCTAATGTAGCTGAGTATAGCTGAGAAGACTAGGATCCCTCTACCCTCAGCTCTCATCAAGAAAGTGAAAAAGTGAAAAGAAGAAAATATTTTCAAATTATCAATTTGGTAAGGGACTTTATCCGGCAAAGGTAAAGAACTCTTGCAAACCAACAATCAGGACAAATAATCCAATTTAAAAACAGGCAAAGGCTTTGAATAGATATTGTTCCAAAGAAAATATGCCAAGTGCCAATAAGCACATGAAAAGATACTTAATCATTAGTCATTAGGGAAATGCAAATCAAAACTATGAGATATCATTTTACACCACAAGGATGGCTATAATCAAAAGGACAGATGACAACAGGTGCTGAGGAGAAAGTGGAATATAAACCTCATATATTGCTGGTGGGAAGGTTATATGGTACAGCCCCATAGGAAAATAGTTTGGCAGTTTCTTTTAGAACTAAAAATGAGCTTAGTGTATGATCCAGCAATTGCACACTTGGGCATTTATCCTAGAGAAATGAAAATTTATTTTCACGCAGAAACTTGTCCACGAATGTTCACAGTTTTATCTTTAATAGCCTCAAACTGTAAACTATCCAAATATCCTTCAATGGGTGAATAATTCAACCAATTGTGGTACATGTATAACTTAGAATACTTACTAGCAAAAAAAAAGGAAATGAAATACAGATACATACAAGCAACCTTCAGGAAATTATTTGCAGTGAAAAATCTGATCTTGAAAGGACACACACTGAATTATCCCATTTATATAGCATTCATTAACTAACAGAATTACAGGGATGGAGAACAGATTAGTGGTTATCAGTGGATAGGGATGGGGGAAAAGATGGGGAGATGACAGGTCAAGTGACAGGGACAATCGTTTTAGTGACCAATTCTTACCTATGACTTAAGCTTAGAAGTATAAATCATATTGAAGTCATAAACTTCTTAAAAACAAGAAATAATGAACATATGAGATCTTAAGCAAGAAGGTAAGTAGATGAGGGAGGCAACTAATCTCAGATACCGATTTAATCAATAATGGTTTGTTACCCTTTTCAGATGGCCATTAAGTCCCTGCTTGTATAGGTGATGATACAGATGCTAGAACAGTCTCTAAAAACTACCGCAATGAAAAATGCAGTAAAAATGATATGACCCCGTATTTAACCTAGAAACCAAAACCATTCTACGGCCGTAATAATTTTCTCCTTAAAGGTGTATTGAATAATATATGGGATACACCCCATTTAAAATGGGTCATATAATAATGCATAATTGAAGTCCTTCCCTTCCATATGAAACACATTCTTTTTTTCTTTTTTGGCTGGCAGCAATTCAGTGCAACCAGGAAATGGGTGGAGGGCAATGTGGCATTAGTGCTGGGGTCCTCACAGTACACTCATCCAACTATAAGCATCATCTGGGAAACTGGTAGAAATGTCAATTCTCAGCCCCACCCAGGCTTGCTTAATCAGAAACTCTGGGGGAAGGGCCCAGAATTCCATGTTTTAATAAGCCCTTCAGGTAATTTAGATGCACCCTAAATTTTGAGAACCACTGACATGGTAGTGAAGAGCTTAGTAATTAAGAGCTTAGTGGTTAAGCAGCTTTAGACCCAACCAAGCCTGGGTTCCACTTTTATCCTGGCTATTCACAAGCTGAGTGATCCTGGGAAAAGTTATTTAATTTGTCTAGATCTTAGTTTCCTGGTTGGCAAAATGGGGATAATACTTTTACTGGGAGGATTAAATGATACATTTTAACGAAAGCCTATTGCACTTTATAAACAATCCATAAATGGTAGCTGTGATTACGATGATGGAAGGGAGGCAACCGAATAGAATGCAAAGTATAGCCAACTTGAAGTCAGAAAGCCTGGGCTGAAGAACTTGGGTTCTGGACCTACCACTTTCCGTGTGTCCCTGCACAGACTGTTTAGCTCCTCTGAGCCTCAGAGATGTGAGGATTAAATGAGATTAAGTGCATACAGTAGAAACTGCAACGCACTACACAATTGTAAATTTTTGTCAAAACTACAGAAATTCAAGAGGAATAAAAACATTTCAAAAAAGTAACATGTAACTCCATGGCTGATTCATGTCAATGTATGACAAAACCCACTGCAATGTTGTGAAATGGTTGGCCTCCAACTAATAAAAATAAATGAGAAAAAAAAAAGTAACAGACACATGAAAAAGATTGGATTTCCAAAGACAGTGCCAGGGAGAAGTGTGGAGCAGACCCTTAGAAATAAAACAAAAACAGAAGCTATGAATCACAACAGCAGCTTCTAATTGGAAGGATTTTGCCTTATTATCAAAAGCTCCATAGCCAAGAATGTGGCTGGCACAGTGTGACCCCGGGTCCTCCTGGGCTTCCCACAATTCCTTGGTAGGAATCTGCCATGCAAGCCTATTTTCTGCTAATCAAAGAGGACAGGGAAGAAGTGAGGCAAGCCCGCATCTCTGTAGTCACACAGCTTTAGTCTCCTCCAATGGCGCTACAGTTTGTCTCAAGTATTTACTTACAAAGTAAGTGAGGGACTTCCCTGGTAGTTTAGTAGCTGAGGCTCTGGGCTCCCAGTGGAGGGGTCCTGGGTTTGATCCCTGGTCAGGGAGCTAGATTCCACATGCCACAGTTAAGAGTTCACACTGGGCTTAAGAATTAAAAATAATAATAAAGAAATCAAAGTAAATAAACGTTTACAGCTGATTTGTTTTCTCTCAGCCCCCATCCTCATAAGTACTTAAACTTCTTTGCTTACCCCCAGGGTAGAATCACATTTTTGAAGGGAAAAAAAAAGAAAGAAAGAACACAAAAGCAACCTATGACTGTTGTAGTTAAAGCGCTCTGGGATAAGGGAAATAAGCTTTCCCAGCATCTCCTCTTTACTTTCTCTCATTCATTCAGCAAATGTGAGCTGAATGCCTACCTTGTGTCAAGTACGGTTCAAGAAACAGCACTTCTCCAGGGAGGAGGTAGATGTGTTATCAAATGATTGTCATTTAGTGGGGATGTGGGAGGATGGAGGCAAGGATGCAGAGAAGACCAATGACAAGTCATCACTTGGCTCTGGTGGGAAGAGTGAGAAGAAGGCATGCCTCCTGGAGGAAGGGAGACTCTGAGCTAAGTCTTAAAGGAAGAGCAAGACCCAGTCTGGGGCTTTCCTTGTGGCTCAGTGGTAAAAAATCTGCCTGCCAATGCAGGAGACACGGGTTCAATCCCTGCTCTGGGGAGATCCCACATTTCACAGAGCATCTCAGCCTGGGGGCCACAACTACTGAGCCTGTGCTCCGGAGCCCGGGAGCCCAGCTACTGAGCCCATGCACCACAACTATCGGAGCTCACACGCCCTAGAGCCTGTGTTTCACAACAAGAGAAGCCACTGCAATGAGAAGCCCCCACGCCGCTAGAGAGTGGCCCTCACTTGCTGTAACTAGAGAAAAGCCAGAGCAAAGCAATGAAGACCCAGCACAGCCAAAAACAAATAAATAAAAGTAAATTAAAAAAAAAAAAAAAAAAGAATTGGTCTGGCAAAGAGCTGAGAGGAGGCCATGGGCATTTCTGGTGGTGGAGCTAGCAGAGCAGGAACAGAGAACCACAGTGAGATAAACTGCCCGCAGTCTGGGCTCGGGTGTGGGGAGGGGCCAGTGAGGCTGCTGGTACGGGCGGGGTCTCCCTGGAAAGATCACATGCAGTAACTGCCGGATCTCAGACATGACCCTGTGTGGGTGGGCATGAGCCACTGAATGGCTCAACGACCTATGATGGAATGAACTTTTAGGTAGGACTTGATATAAGCCAACCCGACAGGCCAGCACAGAGTTCAGAGAGCCCCATAACCTTGCCAATGCAGGTCATAGCGAAGGAGCCATGAGACTCCAGCTCCAGGCTTTTAAAGGGCCTTTGCTCTCCACTACATGACGCTGCCTCCTGGGGCAGTTCACACAAATGCAGCTTCTGACACAGTGACGTCCTCAACGGTTCACCTAGTCTCAAGCTCTAGCCACAGGCAGCCCCATTTCAAAGGACTCTCTCCCCTACTCGAAACTCTGCCCCCTGTCACATCCGGAGCTCAGTCTGAGATGGTGCTCTGTCATTTAATAACTATGGCCCTTTTGTGGACCACTACAGATTTAACACTTACAAATTTCAATTGTTTTTTTAAAAAATCCCCAAATCCATAGCATGTAATAATATGAAATTGGTCCAAGGCACAGATTTGAACTGAGAAACCCATGAGTGGGAACCAAACTTTTAGCTGGAAAATGGGTCCATTGGCCACAATTTTATCTCTCATGTTGTCTTGTAAGTAACACAGGGAAAAGTATAGGCCCCCTGTGGTCCTTGTGAATTCAAGGGACTCATGGAGCCTCCATCTCTTCACACCACCTGTGTGCACAGTTTCTGTACCCGTGAATGAGCTACTCCACATTCCCGAGTCAGGGAAATGCACATGGATTATCCTAGCGTGAGGTGCTGGTAACCAGAGTGGCTGCAGACTCAGGGACGCTCAGTGGCTCCCAACAGGAAGATTCTCGCTGTTCAGAAATGGTGAGATTCTAGAACAGGTCACCCTGCTGGGCTTGAACCTCTGGGGCACCGGGTCAGGCCAAGGATTATGAATTGATTTCTCAATGATGCTCCTCTGAATGACGCTGCCAATCCCTTTCACACTTCTTGGCTTTCCACAGAAGACCATCTTCTTTTTATGTTCATTTAAATTCATTTCAATATTGAGAAAGGAGGGAGGAATAGTGTGTGGGCTCTGGCTGGGGTAGGAGGCACCAACTCTCACATACTTTATCTCATTTAAGCCTCAGAGCCACCCAGGAAATGGATACAGTTATACCTGCTTTTCACAGGGAAGAAGAAAGGGCCAGATAGACCCTTGGAAAAAAAAAATATTGTGTCTGAACACACTGGATCATAATCCCATATCAAGTCTAAACTCACTCCATCTCTACCCTTCATACCCACTGAAAACTCAGAACTGTAAACTTGGACCAGATGGTAGTCTTCACCTGCACACACTGATGAATTTAACACGTACTAGGTATACTATGCAGGAGACCACCTTGGTTCCCGCTCATTACATAGCAGCTCAATGGCTAAAGTGTAAAAGCAAATGACAGTCATTAATGGTAACAATTATAACAATCATCCCCCCACTGATTAAATGCTTCCTGTGGGTGGGGCAACAATCCGCATTCATTCCTGCCCTTTCTCTCTACAACCCCACGTGAAGTGGCCCCATTTTATAGACGATGAAGTTGAAGAGCCAAGGTTTTGTGGGGCTTGTACAAGGCGGACCCTGTGGTCTCAGAGCTGCCTAGAAGGAAGCAGTAATTATGGTGCCAGCAAAGGGAAAAGTGAAAGATTTTGAATATACTGTGCCCACGTCTGACTCTTTGGGACCCAATGGACTGTATAGCCCACCAGACTCCTCTGTCCATGGAATTCTCTAGGCAAGAATATTGGAGTGGGTAGCCATTCCGTTCTCCAGGGGATTTTCTGACCCAGAGATTGAACCTGGGTTCTTAGGCATTGCAAGCAGATTCTTTACCATCTGAGCCATCAAGGAAGCCCACTCTGTGCTGGGGACGTTAACTACCTTAGGAGGTTAACCTATTATCTGAAGGAGGTGAGCTTTTGGAGCGCCTGCTTTTGTGCTCAGCAATATGAAATTCCAAACTGCTCTGAGATAAATGCAATTCCAGGCCGCATTAGTCTAAATTCTTTCTTTTATTGGAAATAAAGCATTTCTGAAAATGCTAAATAAAGGGTTCTCTGGGTACAGGGTGGAAAAAGAAGGGAGTGATAATTAAGGAGCCAGCAGCGACTGTGACCTCAGACAGATAAATAGGTCCAGAAGAGGCATACCCAGGATTTGGCTGCAGAAGCTAAATGTCTGGGACCAGCTCGAAGACAACTGAGAAGCCTGAGGTCATTATCTTACCATTAACCTTTCACCAGGCTCTGTGCCATGAAGATAAGCCAAGTAGAGCAGGGCCAGAAGTGTGGACTGAAGCTGAGAAGCCAGCACCGGGGCCAGCAGCATGGGCTGTCAAGCCTGGATGGCGACGCCTCTTCTCGGAGAGCAGCCTGTGGACGGAGCACTCCTTCTTCCACACATCCTTCTTCCCCTCCGCCCTGCAGAAACCCTGATCCCCGAGTCCCGCCCAGAGACTCTCTTGCTGCTCACAGAGTACCCAGGCTGACCTGTCTACTGCTCCCTCCGGATTAAGTTGCCTGTTTTCTTTTTTTTCTTCCACTGGGCTTCAAGAGGCAGGACCAAAGGATCACGGTCCAATTTCCTCTTGAACCAACTTCCAGGGCCTGGCCTATAGGAACCACTCCAATCATAGGTATGTGGGACTTCTTCTGGAGGTCCGGTGGCTAAGATTCCAAGTGCTCCCAATGCAGGGCGCCCGGGTTTGATCCTTGGTCAGGGAACTAGAGGATGAGATGGTTGGATGGCATCACCAATTCAATGGACATGAACTAGGGCCAACTTCGGGAGATAGTGAGAGACAGGGAGGACTGGCATGCTGCAGTCTCTTTGCAGAGACTCGGGCATCAAGGAGCTGGACTTGACTTAGCGACTGAACAAGAACAGGGGCCCTACATGCCTCAGCTAAAGATTCCACATGCCACAAAGATCAAAGATCCTGCATGCTGCAACTGAGACTGGGCGGGGCCAAATAAATAAAGATTAACAAAGAAACACACAAAAAAGCATAGGCTTGAAATGGATGAAAAGTTCTGTGTCCACTCGTTTGCAGAAGAGCTTGGAAGCAATGGAGACACAAGGAAGAGATGAAAGCCCTTCGTTATAACTATCTCTGTCCACCTACTATCACAAGATAGCCCACTCTTGACTTTGCCAGGTCTTTCTAGGATGATCTGCACTCCCTGGGTTCAGCCTGAGCCCAACTGTCTTAGAGATGGGAAGGAGTGTGGTTTACATATAGTGTCTTCCTTTTGTGCATTTTCCATCCCTTCTCTGCCTCTTTTTTCAAAGGCCTGGCAGTTTGTTAAAAATTTTGTCTTCTCTCTGCACACTGATGGGAGAAGGGAGTCGGGGGATGTGTGTTTCAGCAGCTCTGATAAATCACATTATTTGCAAATCAAGCTACAAGTGTGCACAGCACTATTCAAACTGAACCATCTCCTGGCTTTTCTCCATATCTGAACTAAAGAAAAAAACTGGAGAACTCATAAACACTGCATCGGTGCAAAGATGACGGCTCCTCATCCCTCCCAAAAAACTGGGCTCACGCCACTGTCTGACTGCTTCCCTTCTTGAGCCAAGACATTCTTTCCTGCACAGCCAACCTTGGTCAGCCAGTGCCTGGATTAGGACAATGGCTGGAATCCCTGCTAGGCTGTTCTTGTCACCAGAGTAGGCACGACATAGGAGCTGTTCAGTGGCCAATCTCACATACCCTGAATTCCTGGTCAGGGCCAAAGCCTTTCATCTGGTCCCTGCACTTAAGGGATTATAAAATACCTTGAGAATCCAATTACAAACAGCTAACGAAATGATGCTGGTTTCAGCTACCCTCAGTTCCCGTCTCCTTTGCCACCTTTGCCATTCCTAGGCTCCACCTTCTGACTCTGACAGTCAGAGCCAGCTCACTTCTGGGCCTAATGAGCAAAGGAGACCTCAGAACTCTGCACAGGCAGAGACAGTGCATCTTCAAAAATAATAATAATAAATTATAGGACATGGATGTCATATGATAGCTGTATGAAGCTAGTTGTCTATGGAAAGTTTAATCTCTCCCATCTGGGTATGTAATAAATAAATGTACAGGTGCATATGTGCCTCCACAAGACACAAAAATCTGTGTGATGATGAACAATCTGATGCCATATATTGCTATTGATGATATCGCCCTCCCATGAGGGGTTTGGTCACTGGAGATTGAGAAAGCACTTAAGTCTAGACTCTGCCATTTCCTTTGTCAGAAGCAAAACAGTGCCCCAGAGTAAAGCGCCTGTGAAGCTCTGACTCATCTCTGCCTCTCCTCTAGCCATCTCTGCTCAGCACTGTTCTCCTTAAGAAACAGCTAAGCAGCTAGTTAACTCCTAGGTGGCCTCATTTTGGGGAGAGGTTGTAGGGCAGGAAGAATGTTTAAGCAGCTGATAGGGAAGAGGTAGACCAGATGGCCTTGTAGATGTCTTCATGCCCTAGTATTTACTTGTTGGACAAATGAAAGCTAAGCAGTTCCTATGCCAGGTGGCATGCTGAGCACTGCATAAACAAAGATACAGCAGCCCCAGGAGCTGCCCCCATATTGGTTTTTGTAATTTCATGGGAACTAGAGTCTCCTCACTTCCCTCCTGCCTTTATCTCTTTAATTCTACTCCTTTGAGTTCCCACATAAGCATAGCAACAAGAAGCATACTCTGGTTCTTACTAGTTTCAGATCAGAATAGTTCAATCTCATCCCCCCAAAATCCATTTTCCATAGAGCAACCAAAGACAACTTTATGATGTCACTCCAAGGCTGAAAACCCTCCACCAACTCCTCACAGCCCTGAGAGTAATAGCCGCGCCCCTTGCCCTGGCTGACAGGGCTCCCTGAAACTGGCTTCTGCCCACAGCTCTGAGTCCCATCCCCTCACTCACCATCTACAGCTGCACTGTCCTTCTCTCAGTTTCTAGAAACTCCACACTCATTAACATCTCAGGGACTTGTACTTGCTATGT